GGGCCTGGGGGCGGTGTCACAAGCCCTGCCTGGTGGGCGGGTCCAGGAGCCGGGCTGCCTGCGGGGGTGGGGCGGGGGGCGGGGGTGGGGGCTGCTCTGCCGGCCCCCAAGTGCCGCATCTGCGAGCAGCTCAGGCGACGGGCGGGCGCCCAAGCTGGGCCCACGGCGCAGGGCTCTGTGGAAGGCGGGCTGCCTGGCTGCCGGCCGGGCCTGCGCGGAGGCCAGCTGCAATGGCCCCGGCAGCTCCCGGAGGACACGGGTCCCGGGGGAGAGGAGGCCACCTTTGAACGTCCAGCTCAGCACTTTCAGGCGGGAAATTGGCTCCTGCCCCTGCCCCTGCCCCTGCCCGGGCCGGAGAGGGGGGTCGACGGCGGGGCTTTGTCGTGCCTCCTGCGCACAGAGCCCGCTGTGGCCTGCGCGCCGCAGTGACCTGAGGATGTCACCGTCAAAGGGAGCGTGCCCGTGCCATCCGCTGTGGCTGCTGAAACCAGCGTGTCGGGCTTGGGGAGGCGCCGGGAGAGAAGAACTCGTGGGAGAAAAACGACCGCTCGGTGCCGGCTGGTTTGCTTACTATTCAGCTGCCTTCGAGCCGCCAGGAAAGGAGGCTCTGGGGGTGCGGGGGTTCTCTGAGCTTTGCCGGGACCTGGGACAAGCTGATGGCCAGGCACAGCCTGCCCTGGGGTGGCCACGGTCCCCACACGGGCCAGGGAAGGCTGTCTGCGGCCGCTGGGGCAGGGGGCTTTGCAGAGTGTCCTGAAGAGGGGGCGTGTCTGTCTCGGCTCTGACCCCAGGGAAGGGGAGCAAGGGCAGCCTCCGAGGCTGCCACTTACTAGGACGCGACCCCTCGTGCTGCGACCCCCGGTCTCTGAGACCCCCGGTCTCTGAGACCCCCGAGGGGAGCGTGTCCGCACACTCAAAAGCAGGTGCAGGCAGCACGCGGGTCTGGGGGAGGGACTGTGTGTCCGCAGGTGTCCCCTCCGGCCCACGCCAGCCTGGCCGACGCTGCCCCCTGGTGGAGCCTGGGTGTGCCTTGCCCTCTCCCAGGTGGTGACGCGGGGAGGGCAGTTCGGGGCAGCGGCCGCCTTGAGGAGAACGTGGCTTCCTGTGAAGGGAGCCAAGGGGCCGGTGCACCCGAGACCTGTGGATGGAGGAAGCGTTGCGGCTGCCGTGGCCACACGGGGCGAAGGCCACGGACACGCACGGGCTGTGTGGGCATCGAGGCTCGGAGGCGCCCACGGGACATGCACGGGACGAACCCGGCCTTGACCAGAGCTCCCCGCCCGGCTCCCAGGAGCGGGCTGTGCGGCGCGAAGCCCTCGTGTTCTCCCCCAGAGCAGGCCCGTCCCCGCGGGAAGCACCACCGGAGGCCGAAGTGCCCTGGCTCCCGGGGAAGCGCCCAGGCTGGCCTTGGGGTGGGGGGGCGGTGCGCAGAGCGGCCGCTGCCGGCGCTGGGCAGGGCTGTGGCCACGCCCCGGGGGAGCGGGGGAGCGGGGGTGCCGCCCCCACGGAGGGCCCTCAGCGCGGGGCGCTGGGTTCACGCACTGGCGGGGCCGGGGAGCGCCCACGGAGCGCCTGCTCTCCCCCGGCCAGCCTGGGGGCGGGGGCCCCGGGGAGGAGGCCCAGGCTGCGCCCGTCAGCGGGTCCCCGTCCTCGCAGGGGAGGGCCCCAGGGCGTCCCCTGTGCCAGGACATACCCGCCGCCCAAGGGGCCGAGGCCGCGGGGAGCAGCTGCAGAGCCCCCCGGCAGACCCGTCCTCCGGGCCCACCCCCAGGCTGCTCTGGGCGGGGCGTGGTCACTGTCACGGTGGGACAGTGAGTATCTGCTGGGCCTCGTGGGGGGCCGCACGGAGGTCCCCATGGAGGCTGGGGCTCCCGGGCTGGTCACCTTCTAGGACCGTGGACCCCCATCACCCGAGCCCCCCCGCCGCCCCCCAACAGGTGCTGTGTGCGTTCGAGGGGTGAGGCGGCTGGGGCTCGAGGGGTCCCTGATCGCTCGGGCGGGCCCCAGGGCCCCGGAGCGAGGCTGGGGGAGGCCAAGGCCTGCGACACGGGGGCCGCATGTCCGCTGTGAGGGGTGCAGACGTCCTCAGGTGCAGGGGGCTGGTCCCCGGGCGGCCGCCGCCGGGATGCCCACCAGGCCCCGCCCCTGGTGTCCCCTCTGTCCGGGTCGCGGGCAGCCCTGGAGCGCGCGCGTCCTGTGGCCGCCCCCTCCACTCTGCGTGCTTGACGTGCCGGGGAGGACGGGGCCGGCCCCACTGCCCAGCCTCTGTCCACTGCGTCTTTCCTGGCTCCCCCTCGAGTCGGGTGGGTCCTGGCCACGTTCCGCGGGTAAAGCAGACGGGGCCTCGTGCGGGGGCTGTGGGCCTGAGTCAGGGAGCCGTGGGTGAGTGTGGTGTGTGTACCGGGGCTCACCTGCGTCACCTCCGGGGGCCCCTCCCCGTGGCCTCTCCCGGTGGCCTCTCCCGGTGCCCCGAGGACCCGTGAGAGAATGACAGGAAGCCACGTTAGCTTGGGGGACAGCGTTAGGGAGGTTGCTCAGGGAAAGTGGCCCCTGAGTCAGGACTGAGCCAGGGGCACTGACACGGGCGGAGGCCCTGGGGCGGGGTGGGGCGGGGCGGGGCACAGGCCGTGAAGGCCTGAGGGTGGTCCCCGGGCTCGAGCCCAGGGAGACAGAGTGGGCGACCAGCTGGAGCCCTCGCTGGGCGGGGGCGTTTGCCGCAGGCCCCGCAGGAAGCCCCTGTCAGCCGTACGCAGGGCGGCGGCAGGTCCGGGCTGAGGCTTCATGGGGGGGCCCTCTGCGTGCTGTTCGGAGCCAGACGGGGGGGCACGAATGGAACTGGGAGCTGAGGCGAGGAGAGTGGATGGATTCCGGGTGCCTGCGGGAAGAACCCCGGTGGGGGTGGGTGAGGGCCCCGCCCCCGGACCCGGCCCCGGCCCCGCCCCCGCCCCCGCCCCCGCCCCCGCCCCCTCTGCTGTAAAGGAGCCAGGCTGTGCGGGGCGGGGGTGCTGCTTTCTGCCCGCAAGGTTGCAGGCCAAGGCCCAGCGTCCTGAGGCCCAGCGTCCTGAGGCCCAGCGTCCTGAGGCCCAGAACGGGGACCCCCGGTCCCTGGCACCCGCCTCCTGGGCTGCTCTGCGCCCTTGGCCCGGCCCAGGCTGGACCCTGCGCCTCCTGAGTCTAACTCGGTGCATCCAAGGCCCTATCCCGAGGCCACCCCTTCTTTCTGAGCCCCCTTTGTGTGGCCCCTAAACAGGGCTGGTCCTGGGTCCTCGGGACGCCCCAAGGTCACAGGGGTGGGCGGCCTCGGTCCTCAGGACACTCGCCTGGCGAGGACTGCTGTGCCTCACCCCAGGACCGGAGGGGTCTCTGGGGGAGACCGTGGCTCACCAGAGCCCAGCAGACGGCCCCCCCGTGGGCGTGGGTGGTGTCCCCGGCCCCCTGGTTGCGGGGTCTCCTCCCGAGGGGCACGAAGGGAGCGGCAGCGCCCTGAGCAGGTCTAAACGTTTGTCCTCGGTGAGGGGCAAAATGGGGCCAGTCACGAACCCCCTGGTGGGCTGGGGACGCGCAGGCACCGGCCGTCCCCCTGGGGCGCCCGCCCAGCCCAAGGTCTTCGGACCGCAGGCCTCTCTCGGCCTGGCCCCCGCACGCGCCGCCGGACAAGGCCCTGCCGCTCGCACACGGCTGCTTCTGCAGGCCGGCCCGCGTCCGGGCCCGGGGCTGTGGCAGTGGCCTCGGCCCGTCGTCGTGGCCTCGGCCCAAATGTCACGGTCTTGGGCTTGGCCCTGCGCCCCCCCACCTGGTGAGGTGGCCGGGCCAGGAGGCGAAGATGCCGGGTCGCCCTGAGCACCTCGCTGTCCGCCCCGGGCCAGGTGGGTGGCGCCACGACCCGCAGCCCGGGCCCCTGGTCAGGCCTCGTTTGCCCTGGCCCAGTCCTCCCCGGCCCAGTCCTCCCCGGCCCAGTCCTCCCCCGATTTCGGCCACACTTCTAGGTCTTGGGATCAATCGTGGCTTTTCCCGCGGGATTTCCACATGCCGCGTCTCAGCCTGGCAACCCCACGATTGAAGTGGTCCGCGGTGCCCCTCCCCCCGGACCGTGGCCCCCGCAGGCCACCCTCAGCCGACCTCAGGGTAGACGCAGCACTTAGGGGACCCCCGGCCACACGGGGCCAGTAAGCCAGCCTCAGCCCAGCGGGGCAGGCGGGGACCCTGGGCCGGGCCAGTCATCGGCTGGGGGGCGGGGCTGTTCCTGGCTTCTCCAGCTTCCGAGGAGCCGCCCCCGCTCCCCAACTCCAGAGTTGGCAGGAGGTGTCTCCCGGTCTCCCCCGACCCTCCTCTGACGAGCCTGCGCGACCCGGATAACACGGGGTCCTCGCCTGTCTTTAACTTCAGCACGTTTGCCCTGGTCCGTGTGAGGTCCCTCCACGGTCGCGGGTCCGGACGAGGACGTCCCTGGGCGCTGCTCAGGCCCCTGCCGCCTCCGCTTCACACAGCGGCCACCTGGTGTGCGTCCCCCCCTCCCAGAGTCCATGCCGGGCCCTCCTCTGGCCTCGGGGCTCTGCACGGCGACCCCCCGCCCCCGCCCCCGCCCCCGCCCCCGCCCCTGCCCCATGCTCTTCGCCGGGGGCCTGAGCCTCACTGTTCAGGTCACCGGCGCCCCAGCTGAGGAGCTTCTGTCTGGGTGCCCCTCCCAGGGCCACCCTGGGGTCCCTTCCTCTAGGGCGTCCTGCCGGTTGGGGCGGTTGCTGAGGCGCTGATGCGTGTCTGTCTTGCACCCATTTCATTTAGTAAAGGAATCTCATCCTGCTTTGCCTCCCCCTCGCCCCTGTCCTGCCCCGCCCCCCGTGAGAGGAGCCTTCGGGGGTCCCCTCAGGACAGGAGCGGCCATCCCTGTCTCCTGCCAGCCCGCCAGGCAGGAAGGGCCCCCGAGCGCCCCGCGGCCCCCTCCGCTCCCACCAGCGCGGGGGTGGTGGGGGCAGGCGGTCAGCACACCCCTCCCCTCACAGAGGAGGAGCTCCGGAAGCTGCGGGAAGAGACCAACGCGGAGACGCTGCGGCAGGAGCTGGACCGGGAGCGGCAGCGGCGGCTGGAGCTGGAGCAGAGGGTCCAGGACGTGCTGAAGGCCAGGTGAGCGGGCGCCTGTGGCCAGGCCCGGGGGGGGGGGCGCTGTGCGTGCCAGCATCTCGGGGGGCATCGCGGCGCCGTCACCTGCGGAGCCTGCTGCAGGTGGGACGCGTGTGCGTCCCTGAGCAGCCTTCCCTAAGGCTGTGCCTCCTCCGGGGGCGTTGGGGGCGTCTGTGGGCCTGTGCTCTGTGCAGGGTCTGCGTCCTGTTTCCCTCCCCAGCCTCGCCCGGGGGTTCATCCTCCCTTTCACCAGAGGGGGCTGCCCGGCCTGTGGCCTCGGGGAGCACTTGATTATTCAGTGTTCAGTATCTTTTCATTAGATACTTTTCATAAGTATCGCCAGTTAATCAGCGATATGGGCTGTATATTTTGAGCTTAATGGTAACATAAGAAGCAAGGGTGTGAACGTTAATAGGAAAGAGAAGAGCTGTATGTATGTTTACGAGGCCCATTTACTTGGTTATTAAAAGACGAAAGTTAGGCCTCTCGCGGTGCAGCGCGGGCCCAGAGGGAGCCCGCCTGTGGCGCGCGCTGTGGCGGGCGGCCCGTGTGCTCTGTGTGCTGGGGCACAGCCCGCGCCGCCCACACCTGGGCTGAGGGCGGTCTCGCTGTTCTCTCCTTTGCTTCCAGAACCGAGGAGCAGGCGGCTCAGCCACCTCCGAAAAGCCAGGCCCCGCTCGCCAATGGTGCAGGTAGGCCCGCCGCAGCCGGCGGGGGGCGGGGGGTGGGTCCCGCGCCCATGGGGACTGGCTCAGTGTCTTGCTGCGCGTTGGTGAGCCGTAGCCGCGCGTGCAGGTCACCCGGTGACAGCGCGGCCGCAGTCGTGGACGCACAGCACAGCGTGTGGCTCCGGCTTCCCACAGGGAGGAGGTGCCCCGTCACGTCGGCTCCGTGGCCGCTGACCTGGCAGCGTTTCCTGGGGGCAGCCCTGGTTGGCGAGTGTCCCCGTGCCCCCCTGGCCAGGACCCAGGCCCTGTTCTCGGTCGCTTCCTTCCTGCCGCAGCTCACATTCTGTAGCTCATGCCCACGTCACACTTTCTACGTCATCCTTCAGGGGACGGCATGGGAGGACCGCAGGTTCCCATCGGGCTGTCCGGGGGCCCGGGCTGGCCTGTGGCCGCCCCGGCCTCCCCGTGCTTGGGCCCAGGGCCCATTCCTGCAAGCTGACCGTCTGCAGGGAGCCCCAGCCTGTGCGGGGAGCCCGGTGGGTCTCACCAGGAGGGCCTCGTATGTGAGCGCTGCCCCCGTAGAGATGAGGAACCAGCGGCCTGGAGGGAGGGCCTCCCGCGGGCAGCAGCCTGGTTGGGCTGAGCTCAGACCAGAGCGGGGTCCTGCCCACCCCGCCCAGGTCAGGGCCTGCCCAGGTGCTGGGTTGGCTGCGGCCTCCCTAGAACCCTGGGCCCCTTGGGTCCTCGGGTGCCACGGCCGGCGGCCCGGGTTCCGTGGCAGGAGCCACGCTGGGCGTGAGGACGAGGAGTCTCGTGTGGGCGTGGGCGCCGTAAGGTGCGAGACCCCGTTACGGGTGTCCCTGTGGCTCTAGCCGCCATCACGGCCCGGCCCCAGGCTGAGTCCATGGGGGGCTGTGGTCCCAGGGGGTGGGGGGACCCCGTGTGTGCAGCCCCAGGGCGAGGGAGGCAGGGACCGCGGTCCGTGTGGGTGGGTGGGGGCGTCCTGCAGCCAGGGCCGGGGACCCCGAAGCCATCGGCCCAGAGCAGGCCTGACCTACACCTGCGGGTCAGCGGGCTAGTCTATCCGCTTTTACATTTTGAATGTTTTTACAATTTTTAGTGGTTAAAGAAAACATTTCCTGGCTTGTGAACGTTACAGGCATTTCAAATCTGTCTCCAAAAGCACGCTCGGTCCATGCCTGCTTTTGAGAACAACGCAGACCGGGCCTCTCTCTCTCTGAAGCCCTGCCCGGCCCAGAGCCCCTGGGCCCTCACTCCTCCTCTGAGCCGCGGCGTCTGAGGCCCTGGGCCCTGGAGCCTGCTGCTGGGGCCCCCTTGCTCGGCCCTCTGACCGCGGCGGGCAGCGCCCCCTGCAGGCGTCTCTGAGACCTGCGGTCTGAGGAGCACACTGCTGCGCCAAAGTGCCCCCGTTCTGTGGGATTCACCCCGGTTTTCTGGGCCTGTGACGGAGGTGGCTTTCTCGATCCTTGGCTGTGGGAGGGCAGAGGCTGCTTCCCTCCTGGGGGCTCCCACAGGACGCCGTCCCCAACACTGGCTCCTGGCTGGGGCGCAGGGTCCTGGGAGTGAGCCCACCAGCCACTTCCCGGGCAGACAGAGCGTCCGGTAAGACAGGAGGCGGCTCCTATGGGCCCACATGGGCCACGCCGCCCCATTGGCGCCTGTGCTGGGGTTCGGGTGAGGCCCACCTGGGCTGACGCGCGCTGTGTGGCGGAAGCAGGTGCGGCTCTGTGTCCGGGCGCCGAGCCCTTCCCAGCCTGGCGTGGATCTGCGCGCCCGTTGGGCCCCGCGCGCCCCGCCTGCCCTTCTGCGGCCCCCCTTGGCCTCCTGGGCCCTGCGCCCTCCGCAGACTCCACCTGTCCCCACAGACCGGCGGGGCCAGGGGCTGTGCCCCCGCGTGCAGAAGTGGCTCTACGAGAAGTTCGGGGAGTATGTGGAGGACTTCCGGTTCCAGCCCGAGGAGAGCACCGTGGAAACGGAGGAGCCCCTCAGCGCCCGCAGGTGGGCCCATGGGCTGGGGTGCCCCCAGGGAAGCCAGGGGCAGAGCTCCGGTGGCCGGGCACAGGGGCTGCCCAGGGTGGGGGGAGGCCCCTGCTCCGCCAGGCCCTCCGCTCCACGGTCCGGCTCCTGCTCTGTGACCAGCACAGGGACAGCGGGCTCGGGGGCAGTGCCCGCTGCCTGGGCCATGCGGGGTCCTGTGCCTCCTCGTGAAATGCGCCCTGTGCCAGGCGCTGTTGCAGATCCCGGGGCTGCCAGGGTGCTGGCCAGTCAGGCTCCCGGGGAATGCGGGAGGGAGCTGAGGGACATTTCCGGGCAGGACCCCCTCCGGCACGGGTGCAGCAGCCAGGCGTGTCCTGGCGCGTGGCCCCGCAGGCCTGGGTCACCGGTGCCGCAGGCACGGGCCCAGGGGCGCGGTCACAGGTGGGTCCCTGCCGGCGCTCACCTCTCGCCCTGTCTTTCAGGTTAACCGAGAACATGCGGCGACTCAGTGAGTACCCAGCGGGGGCCGAGCTCTGGCGGCTGTGGGGCTGCCGGCCGGGGGTCTCTGCGATCTTTCTGGAAAGGGCTGTTTTAGGCACTTGTACCCCAGCCTTCTCCCTAAAGCTGCAGGAAGTGCCCGGGGCCACCCTGTCTGTCCGTCCCTCTGGGCGTGGACGTCCCCTGGAGGGGACGGGCCAGCCCTTGAGCCCCACTCCTGTCTGTGGCACAGGTGTGCGGGTGGGGCAGACAGCAGGTCTGTCCCCGTGGGGACACGAGGCAGTCTCGGGAGGACTGAGGCGGCGCTGGCCAGGGGTCAGGGCGTCCGGGGACGGCGGCTGGCTGCGCTCGTCCGGTGCCCTCCCGGGGGTCCTGCGGCTGTGCTGGCCAGCGCCGGCCTGACCGTGCCCTCGTCTGTCCCCAGAGCGGGGTGCCAAGCCTGTCACCAGCTTTGTGAAGAACCTCTCTGCCTTATCCGACTGGTACTCTGTCTACACGTCCGCCATCGCCTTCACCGTGAGTGCGCCCCAGGGGCTGGGGGGTGCGCGGGGTGGCCTCAGTTGCCCCAGCCGCGGGGGTGTCGGAGGGTCAGGCCAGGGCGATCCGGCCTGAGAGAGGGGCCCTGCGGCGGTGTCCTGGGACAGGGCCTCCGGCCGTGCTGGGTCCGCTTTCCTGGCGGTCAGAGGAGAGCGGGAGGCTTGCCTGCCCCTGTGGGTCCCGGGGTCCCATCTGTGGGGGCCACACAGTGACCTGGGGGCCAGGCCGGCCGGGAGCCACCAGCCCTGGGGCAGGGTGGAGGGCGCCCCCCAGCAAGGGTGGGGGGCCTCGGGGAGAGCGGGCCTGGCCGCCCGCCGGCCTCTCTGACAGGACGGGCGCCCCGCCTGCAGGCCCGCACCCCACTGGGCCCAGGCGCCGGCCACCAGCCGGGGCGGGAGGGACAGGCCGGCCCTGACTGGCTGCCTGCCGGCCCTGCCGGCCCCGCCGCCTGCCACTCACCTCCCCCCACCCTGCCCCCCACCCCGCCCCCGGCCGCCGCAGGTCTACATGAACGCCGTGTGGCATGGCTGGGCCGTCCCCATGTTCCTGTTTCTGGCCATTTTGAGGTTGTCCCTCAATTACCTCATAGCCAGGTAGGTGAGCTGGCGTGTTGGGCGGGGTGGTTTTCTGTGTCCCCACATCACCCACGCTCTGCCGCGTGCCCTGGCTTTTGGGGATGATAGTTCTCAGGCTCCAGACCCCCAAGTTGGCTGGAGCTGCTGCAGGTGATTCCCGAACTCCCCAGCCCCTCATCGCCCACCTCCGTCCTGTTTTGGGGGGGAAGCTGCCCCCAGACCTCCGGAAAGAGGTGGGGGGAGGGTGGGTGGAGCTGTGAGGGCGCTGTGCCCTGGGCGGCCCCTGCCGGCGTTTGTGGGACAGGAGCTGGGTCAGAAGGAGCCCGTGGCCTGCGCGGTCTCGGCCATGGGGGCCTGAAAGGAAGCCAGCTCCCCGTGCAAACCCACTGTGCCTGCAGGCTGTTAGGCCTGCCCGCGCTGTTCAGCACGGGTACGCTCAGACAGACAGACAGACACACACACACACACACACACACACACACACACACACACACACACACACACACACACACACACACCGCACCCCCCCAGGCCCCGCCCCCCGCCCGCTGCCGGGCCCGCCCCGTCCCGCCCCGCCCCGCCCCGCCCCCTGGAAGTGGTTTTCGTAGAAAACACTTAACTGGGCGTTAGCGAAGGGGCCGCTCTGCTGTGTCCAGGCAACCCCAGGCAAAGGCCTCCCACCTCACCCGCTAGCTTTGAAAGGCTGCTTGTCCCATCTCGGGGGGCTTTTGCATGTGTCCCCCCCAAGAGCGCCCTCTGACTGGCCTGCACCGGGGAGCGGCCCGGGTGGGCTCGGATGTGGGAGGCGGCCCCTTCCTGAGCCCCTGTGCCATGTCCCAGGGCGCCCCTCCCATTGGGCGACCTGGGCGGGGCCCCGTGGGCACCCCTGGGCACCCGGGACTTGAGCGCTCTCCGTTTGCCAGGGGCTGGAGGATACAGTGGAGCATCGTGCCCGAAGTGTCCGAAGTGGTGGTGAGTCCTGGGGGCGAAGATCTCGCCTGCCTCCGCTGGGTCAGGCCCTGACCGGGGTGCCCCGCAGGTCCCCGAGGCCTCCGGGTGCGGCTGCGGGGGTGCCCGCCTGGAGTCCTGCCCGCCCAGGCCCAGGAGGCTGGGAGATGGAGGCTGAGCGGCTCAGCCCCCTCTGGAAGGGGCTCGGCTGCCCCGCCCCCAGCCTCCCTGCTGGGCTGTGAGGTGGCGGGCGGAGGTGCACAGTGGGCTGGCCCGGCGGGGCCCTGCAGAGCCCTTCGGGTTGCCCTGCCCTGCCCCGCCCGGCCCTGCCCCGCCCGGCCCTGCCCCGCCCTGCCCCACCCCCGCCTGTGGCTTGACTTGATGAAAGGTGCGTGGGCTGCTGCGGGGCTGGGGGTGGGGCGGCGCCGCCCCTGCTGACCCTCCGGCCGCTCCAGGGAAGGCTTGCTGACCTCGCTCCAGAGCGGACTCTGGTCCCTCGGGCAGACCCCCCGGGGGTGGGCAGGAGGAAGCCCTTAGGGCCTCATCAGCCGCTTGAGCACCTACTGCGTGCATGGAGCACACAGTAGGGGTGCCGCGTGGGGCGGGGCCCCCGGATGGGTCAGAGAGGATGTCTGGGGCAGGCCTGTGCCCGCCGGGCCCGGGACCCGGGAGGCTCTCGGGAGCGTCTTGTTGAGTGAACTTGGGTAAACAGGCCGGTCCGGCCCCACTTTGCGTCCGTTTCCCTATCTGTGAAGTGAGGTGGGGGCCTGCTGGGCCTCAGATGACCTTTGACAGCCGTGGCTGTGTTAGTCGGAGCCTCACCCCCGCAGCTGTCGGGGTGTCCACTGCCCGCCCGCCCTCTCAGGCGGCAAGGGGGGGCTCCTCCGGAGCAGCAGCCCCTGTGGGCCCCGCGCGCCGCATCCCCCAGGCACTCCTGGCCGGGGGGGCAGCAGGGTGACCGCAGCCCCGGGCAGCAAGCCTCCGCGCTGTTTTGCTGGCAATGTCCCTGCCCTGTTAGTTCAGGGGACGCCCTCTCTCCTCTTTGACTGAAGGAGCCTCCGAAAGAAGACCTGACCGTGTCCGAGAAGTTCCAGCTGGTGCTGGACGTCGCCCAGAAGGCCCAGGTACCACTGTGGCCCTGGCCTTGTCCAGGGCAGCCCCAGCGCCCTGTCTCCAGGCCGGGCCGGGCCGGGCCGGGCCGTCGTCAGCTGACCTGTAGGCGGCTGGCCGCGGTCTTTCACGCACCCCTGAGACAGCCAGCCCCGAGGGGCGGCCGGGTCCCCGGTTTGGTCGGAGCCCCTCCAGCCAGAGCCCAGCCAGGTCGGGGGCGGGGGGGCGGTGCACAGGATGGGGTCCGAGGTCATGATCCATGCGTTAACCCACCATCCAGACCGACCCCCGCCCCGGGCTCAGCCTGGGGTGGCGGGGCTGGACCACGGCCTGGGGCGCCTGGCTGTGGTCTCTCGGGGGGCTGCCTGTGAACCTGGGGCCGTCCTGGTGCTGCCGTGAGGACCGGCTGTCGCGGGGTCTGTCCTGACCGTGGTGGTTTCTTCACGCAGAACCTCTTTGGCAAGATGGCTGACATCCTGGAAAAGATCAAGAAGTAAGGCCCCGCCCCGCCCCGCCCCGCCCCGCCCCGCCCCGCCCCGCCCCGCCCTCCTGCCAGCCCTCGGCCCCGCTGCACCCGCAGACCCTGCGGAGGCTGAGCCCCGCCTCCCTTGCAGCCTGTTCATGTGGGTGCAGCCCGAGACCACCCAGAAGCTGTACATCGCGCTGTGGGCCGCCTTCCTGGCCTCCTGCTTCTTCCCCTACCGCCTGGTGGGGCTCGTCGTGGGTGAGCAGGCGTGCGCCCTCGGGGGTGGCTCAGGGAGTGGCCGGCCCCGGGCAGCGGTGGCACAGCTGGACGCAGCGGCCGGTCCCGGGTGACGTGGGGCTGTGCTCTCGCCCCAGGGCTCTATGCCGGAATCAAGTTCTTCCTCATCGATTTCATCTTCAAACGCTGCCCGAGGCTGCGCGCCAAGTACGACACCCCCTACATCGTCTGGCAGAGCCTCCCCACCGACCCCCAGCTCAAAGAGCGCTCCAGCGCTGCTGCCGCCGCGTCCCGCAGGGTGAGCCTGCCTCCGGTGGGGCCCGGGGGGAGGCGGGGGCAGAGCCGCCCCCGTCTGCATTCACGACTCGTCCCTGGGCGGGGGGGCCGATGTCCCTCCCATTTTACAGGCCCTTGAAACAGACAGCCTAGGGGTTTTCCTGTGAGCCAGCTCTGCCGTGCTGAGGGGCGGCCGGCCCCAGGCGGGACGTTGCTGGCGGAGGCCCCTCCTGCCGGCTCCCACAAGGGCCCTCCCACAGATTGGCTTAGGGCCAACCGGCTGTGGCACACTGGGCACGGCCGCAGGGAGCCTGGCGGCTCAGGAGGAGGGCGCCCCTGCCGTGGCCACTCCGGAGGCGGGTGCCAGGTCCCGCTGCCCCCGCTCTGAGGCTTCGATGGCACCCGAGATGGGCCCACCCTGTGCCCCCAGGCTGGTGCTGGGTCCGTGTGTCGTTCATTGGACACTGTGTCCACAGCAGCCCAGGTGCAGCCCTTAGAGTCTCAGGCAAGTGGGGCTGTTCTGGGCCTAGAACTCCCCAGCAGGTCTAGGAGGGCTTCCTGGAGGAGGTGACATTGGTGTTCAGAGTCTCGTGCGTGAGTGTGCCCTGAGGAGAGGGTGTTCAGTGGCCCGTTGACGCCTCTGTCTGTGGGAGGGAAGCTCTGCGTCCAGGGTGGGTCACGGCCCCCGGTTCGGGGACCGTCAGGAGCCTGGCCTCGCAGTGGGCGCGTGCGAGCTGGCGGACCCCAGGCAGGAGGCAGAGAGGCAGGCAGCCTGCCCCCGGCAGTGAGCGGGGAGCCCTCGGCGGCCCGACGGGCCTTCCCGGGCCGGGGCCACTCTGTGCTGGCCTCTCTCGGGAGACCGTGAGGGGAGCTGGGGCGTGGGCCCCCGGGGTGGGCGGCAGCCCGCACCGGCCAGGCCGGGCCTAGGCTGGCAGCTTGCTGAGCCCGTGTGTGTATGACCTCGTGTCACGTGGACCCCGGTTTTTCTCTTGTCACGGTCACACGTGTCTGTTGTCTCCCTTCCGGCCAGCTGTCAGGGCATGACAAGGTACAGTCTCGTGTGGAAGCCCTCTCCTCCCGCCGGGGCCCGATGCTGTGCGTTGCTGTGTTGTGACCCTGTTTGACTTTCTAACGCTGCTTCTGGTGGCCTCTCCCGTGACCGGATCTGATTCTGAGGCGTCCCCTCGGCGCCGAGCCCCCGCGCGGGACTGCGTGTGCGGGGCGCAGGCTCAGTGCAGCGTCTGGGTTCGGGGCGTCACCGCCACAGCCGGGCTTCTCGCCCAGCAGGAGGGGGCCCCCGGGGCGAGGCCCAGGTGCTCACCGGGGCCTGGGGGGGGGTCCTTGCCTCGCATCTGGGCACGCATGCCTGTTTGCTAGTCTGTGTCTGCTGCTGGCATGAGGTGGCCGGTGTGTCCCGGCCCCTTGTCCCTCTCCGCCCTGGCGTGGCTGACAGGGACGCGGTGCCGTTGGCAGCTGCAGACGGCCGCCTCGCGGAGCTACGTGTCCAGCGCACCTGCCGGCCTGAGCAAGGATGAAGACGCCGGTCGCTTCCACGGCACCAAAAGGGGCAATTTCCACGAGATCTTTAACCTGACGGAAAACGAGCGACCGCTGGCGGGTACGTGTGCCCTGAGCTGTGACCCGTGACCAGCCTGGCCAGGAGGGTTGACCTCACCCGACCTGGGGTTGATGGGGGGCTGCCACCTCATTGCCATGCTTCCCGGCCGGCGGAGAGGGCCCGTCTGCACTGCGTGGCTGCCCCGGGCAGAGGCCTGCGAAGCCAGTGCCCTGGGACCCTCCCAGCGCGGCACCGTGGGCTGTGGCCTGTCCGTGGCCTATCTGACATGGGGGCCCCGGTCCCTGTCCACCTCCCAGAAGGGCTCTCCCCATAAAACCCTGAACTGCCGGCTGTCGGTGAACGGGGCTCCTAACGTGTTCTGGTGCCCGTGGCGCCGTAGCAGCCGCGGAGAGAAAGCCCTGGAGGTTCTAAGTGCTGGCCTTGCGCCCTCGTCCTGCTGGCTTAGAATGTGGAAGGGCACATTTCCAGAGGGCCTGAGGGTCTTGTTTCTTTTCTTTTGCTGTTTAACCAGCGTCCTTTTTATCTAAAAAAAAACAAACAAAACCAAACCCTGCACCTTCTCGTGGGAAAGGACTCCCGAGGCCACCCCACTCTCTCCATGTGCCTCCGCCACTCCCCACCCCGAGCCCCCTGCGGCTCTGACCTGGCGGGGTTCTGGCCCCGCGCCCGCGGGAGGGCTGGCGGGCGGTCCCGCGCCCGCGCGTGGCCAGCAGGACGCCTCGCGGTTCTGCCCCGCAGTGTGTGAGAATGGCTGGCGCTGCTGCCTGATAAACCGGGACCGGAAGATGCCCACGGACTACATCCGGAACGGGGTGCTGTACGTGACGGAGAAGTGAGTGCGGGTCCCCGCGGGGGAGGGTGTCGCGCGCAGGCAGCGTCCTCATCCCTCTCCTGTGGGGGACGCAGCTGCCCGTGGATGGTGGCCTTGCCTCTCCTCCCCAAGGGCGAGGCTGCAGGCAGCTTGTCCCCAGGGCCGCTTCCCCTCCGCCCCGTGGGGGTGGGGGGTAGGCGGGAGCCAGCTCTCGCACAGGGGTTGTTTCCAGCCTTGGGGGTCCCAGGCCAGGCCCCCCTCACAGGCAGCCCTGGCCAGGTCCCGCTCCCCACCCCGGCTGAAGGAACCGGGGAGGGGACCCCGGCCGGGCCTCGGGTGCTCCCAGGATTCTGACGTCTTGGGAACGCAGTTCAGGTTCAGCACGGGGCTGGGATTTTAACGTTCAGAAGCTGTGAGGCTCTCTAGAAGTGAAATCCCTTGTGAAAGGCCAGGGCACCCAGCGGGGGCGTTGGGGGGGCTCTGGGTTCGGGCCGCCCTCCGTCCCCCGGGCAGCGGCGGCCCTTGGCTCAGCGGCTGGTCTTGCTCTGTCCACCCCCGGCAGCTACTTGTGCTTCGAGAGCTCCAAGTCTGGCTCTTCCAAGAGGAACAAGGTCATCCGGCTGGCGGACATCACGGACATCCAGAAGGTCGGTGTGCCCCGCCCCCACCCTTCGCTTCCCTTCCAGTTCCAGGGAGAGAACGGCCGCAGGGGCGCAGGCGGCGGGGTTTGCTTGGAAGTTGGACCCGTTTCCAAGGAGGGCGGGGCCTCCTGGAGACGTCCGCGGGCACGGCCTCGGCCCGTGTCCCCACGTCCGGGCTCCCCTCCCAGGGGCTCCGGGCCCAGCCCCTGCGCGCTCGCTCGGGCACCGGGGTGCTGCGCCCCCGGGCCCTGCCGCGCCCCCTCCTGTGGGCCGCCGGGCAGCTCCGGAGCCCCTCTGACCCTCTGACCCTCAGCCCTGAGCCCCCGCGCAGGGCAGGCTTCAGGTGAGGCGCAGGCAGCCGTGCCCGGCGTGCGATCCCGTGGAGCGGGTGCCCTCGTGGGGGTGGTGGGGCCTGTCCCCGTCCCCCGTGCGTCCCGCCCGCAGGCCCCATGGGGAACGCCCAGGGCGCAGGGAGGGGCGCTCGGCCCTGTCCCCCGACAGAGGCCCGTGGTGACGCCGCGCTCTCGCCCCCCAGTACAAGGTCCTCTCCGTCCTCCCGGGGTCAGGCATGGGGATCGCTGTGACGACGCCGTCGACCCAGAAAGTGAGTGGTGGTCCCGTGGGCGGCCCAGGGGCGGCCAGCACCCCCGCGCGAGCTCAGGGGCACTGCCCCCAGCTGTTCCCCTTGGGCAGAGGGGCCCGTGACGTCCCCTCCCACCCCCTCTGTTCCTCGCGGCCACCGGAGCCTCCCACTGCATCGAGTTTGGGGCTGGAGGCTGAGACCTGCCCGCACAGCCCCTGGGGGCGGCGGGGGCCCATCCCTCGCCTCTTCCCTCGGTTTCTCTGAAGTGTGGCCTCCAGGTCCAGGGTTGGAGGGTGGGGCTGTTCTCGAGCATCCCGACCCCCCATGGCCCCGGCCCGGGCCCGTGAGGCTGTGCGGCTCAGGGTCGGCGCCCCCCACCCCCCGCCCCCCGCAGCCGCTGGTGTTCGGCGCCATGGTGCACAGGGACGAGGCCTTCGAGACCATCTTCAGCCAGTACGTGAAGATCACGGCGGGCGCGGCGGCGGCTACCGGAGGCGACAGCTAGGGCCGCGCGCCGCCCGGGGCCCGTGGGGCGTCCTCGAAGCAGCCTGGTCGTGCGGGAGAGACCGAGCGTCCCTGCCACCTTCGCAGTGATCCCCCTCGGCCTGTGGCTCTGTCGCGTTGACCTGCGTGTCCGGGCTCTGGCACACGGATGGGGTCGCGTGGATGATGCCCGCCCGCGGGCGGGGCGCGTCCCGGACAGTGGACACAGGGCGCAGGGCGCTCCCGGCCACGGAGAGGAGGACACGCGGGACGCACCCCGTCCCAGCCGCCGCCAAGCACAGCCGCGGCCCCGGGGCCCTGCCCGGGCAGAGACGGCTCCCGGAGGCCGACGCTCTTCCACACCAAAGCCATAGCTGAAGGACGTCGATGGCGAAGGACACCGGCCCCTTCACCGCCCTCAGTAAACGGCCAGTGGGACTGGTTCCTCCTCCAGCGGGACGCCTGCTGCGTGTCCTCAGAGCGCCGCCGGCCAGGGCTCTGCCCGCCTTGGCGGGGGCCCTCGTGCCTCAGGCCGGGGTCGGGCCGCCTGCAGCCTCGGCCTGAGCGGCCGGCCCCGGGGCCTGTCATCAGCCCCCGATGCGGATGCGGAGTGGCGTGTAGCTAGAAGCACAGTGCGCGACGCTTTGCTAGTTGGAAAGGCCGAGGGCCACATCACCCAGGCCTCGGGGGCGCTCGGGTGAAAGTCGCTGCAGCGTGGCTGCCGCTGGCCTCTGGGCTGAGCCACCAGCGGTGGCGGGGGCGGGGCCCCGGACTGGGGTGGGGCCGGACAGGAGTGTCCCAGGCCCCTGGTGGGCTGAGCCGCACGCCCTGGTGTCCGGCGGTGTCCCAGCTGCACCCTGAGCCCACGTGCACTGCACGGGGTGGGAGCGAGCTCTACCCCAGGCTGGTCTGCCCCCCCCCCCCCCGCCCCTTCCCAGGAAGCCACTTGGTAGAGGTGGCCGGCTTGGTCTGTCCCGGGAGAGCTCGGTGTCACGACGGGCCTGCGGCCGCTGTGGACGCCTGCTGATGGGCCAGCGTGCTCTCCGCCGGGCACTCCAGCCCCCGGCTCGTCCGGAGCCCTTTGGGGGTCACTGAGGTGGTTTTTTGAAGAAACAGATTATATTTTTTACAGAGAGTGAGCTGTTTTTCTTATTTTTGTATCATTTTTCACATGTAATTTTTACCTTTGCTCCAATCTAGTTTGCTGGTTTCGGGGAGGGAGCAGCCGCGCTGCCGTTGCGCCCCGTCGGCCGGGGTGGGGGCGCTGCAGGACCCCATGCTGGGCCTGGGTGGGGGGCGCCCGGGGAGACGCGCACACCCCGCCCCAGCCGGTGGCTGCGAGGGGACCGTGCGTCTGGCCCTCAGGCTCGCTGGCCTTGGCGGTCACGGGGTTCTCTGCAGGCCAGCTTTTCGGGAATGAAGGCAGCACTCACTCTAGACCGTGGCTTTGGCTCCCACGGTCCATGCGGGTGGGCCGGCTCTTGGGGATCCCATTGCGGCCTTGGGGTACGCCCAGGGGACACACCTCAGAAGGGCTTCCCCTAGTGCCCAAGGCAGGGCCTAGTGGGCCCTGAGCTGCCCCCAGGCACAGGCTGTAGGGAGGCCAGCTCCTGCGGGGTCCCCCATGTCTGTCAGCAAAGCTGGGGTTCCACCCCGGCCGAGGGGCGGTGGATGGGACTCCTCTTTAGCAGAGTGGGTGGTCCAGTCGGAGGCCCTTCTGAGAAGGAACGGAGATGAAAACCACGCAGCAGGCAGGGTGTGGCCGGCCGACGGGGGCGGGGGGCAGGGGGCGGGGTGCGGGCCCCCCACCCCCACACTGAGCTGCACTGTTTGTCGGCGGCAGGAGGAGCCAGACCCGGGAGGGCTCGGCCCCTCGGAGAGAACCTGCGGTTTTACTGAATTGTGTGAAATCTGGGCAGATACTTAATTTCTACCACTAATCACTGAACTAGGATGAATGTTAACTTTTTTATGTCTATGGCGTGAGTCCACTCTGGGCATGTGGACAACCATTCCTGGTGTTACTTTGTGCAATGGAAGGGTGGTTCTGACGAAGAACCGGTGGGACGTCCCCCTGTGACGTTTTTTAAAGAAAACCTTGTTTGTTTAAAGAAAACGTCTTGTATAAATTATGATTTTTATTTAAATAAACCTGAAAGGCTTTGTGCTAAGGCGCAGCAGTTGCAGAGGGGCCGGCAGCACCGCTGCCCCTCGGGGGACCGGGGCTCCCCAGCCGCCGGAGCTGGAGGGCGGCTCCGCGGGGTGTTGCCCTGAGGCCAGTGCCGGGCCCTGGGCGGGGGCCCTAGCGTGGGCTGTGCTCAGCAAGAGGCCGAGAGGAAGGCGGGAGGCCGGCGGCAGCGGCCGTGGCGCGGCTCGGGGAGGGGCCGCCCGAGCCTGGCCTGGCCCTGCGTGGCAGCAGGGCGCAGCCCCATCACCCCGCGGGCGTAAGGGGAGTTCAGAAGCGGGAGACGCAGGGCACTGAGTTTGGGGTGCAGCCCCATCCCCACCCAGAGGTGCCTTTCCGGGGGCCCTGAGCACCTCCGGACCCAGGTGCTGGGTGCAGCCGTCCCCCAGGGCTTGCGCTGGGCGCACCCCGAGCCCCCAGGAGGTGGCCGCCTGCCGAGGTCGCTCAGAGACAGGGCCGGGGCCGGAGGGGGCTGGTCCCCACGGGCCAGCCCGCCCTCGGGGTGTTGCCTGCTATGACCCATCTGTCGTGGTGCCGTCTGGGTCTGGGACCAGCCGTGACCTCACAGCAGTCCCTGGGAACCCGGCCCCCAGCGGACACGCCTGGGAGTGCCTGCCGCCCCCGGTGACTCTCCCGACAGGACACCGGTGCTGTGATTTTGTCGCCAACGTGAACACCTGAACCCTGCCCCCCGAGGCTCCCACTCAGCGGGGCCCTCGGCAGCAGGCCCCCACCTGCTCCTTCCCCACCCCCATCCCTCTACTGGGCCTTTCATCAGCAGGGGCACAGACCCTCCTCAAAAGGGGGACCCGAGGCAGGGGGGGGGATCCGCGCTGGCCTGTTTTACGTGTATTTCTTAATCTGTCAATAAAGACGCGCGCACAGGCCTGATCCTCGTTTGGGAAACGGCGTGCCAACCCCATTTCCGTGTCGCTGGCTCCCCCTGCTGGCCTGTGCACGCTAATGCGTGCATTTGACGGCAGCTCAGGCCTGCCTGGACCTGGACGGTTCCAGGTAGACGTTTTGGCTTGTGAAAGCCCTACGTGCTCAGTGGAGACCCTAACTCAGAATTTCGGTCTCTTCGCCGGCCAGCGAGCGGCGTGGGCTGCTGGGCTGCGTGGCAGGAAGGCGGCTTGGCCCAGGTTTGCTACTGGGAGGGCCTGACCGCACAGCGGATGGGGTGGGGCTGCGGGGCTCGCAGGCAGGTGCGCGAATGCCTGCGGGGCTGGGGCGTCTTCAGCAGACCCGGGCTTTGTCGGGGGGCCCCGTCTGTGGAGGAGCCCCCGCGTTCTGAGCGGGCATCTCCTGGCTTTCCCTGGCAGAGCCAGGGACTAGAGGAGGTTCTTAGGTGCCCGTGTAGCTTTTGGGTCTTTGTTCTTGGGGGCATGGAGGCCACGCCAGCGTGGGGAGCGTCCGGGGGACTTGGGGACAGACACACAGAGAGGGAGGTAAAGTTACTACAAATGTTTTTTGTTCTCAGGCTGGGGTTCTCTTCGTACATCCTGTTTATTTCATAACAGCCAAATTCTGCGCAAAGGAACTTTAGTTTTGTCTTTTCAAACATATCAGAGCAAGTGGCCATTTTCTAACCTTGAAACCAGCAAGATTAGAGGGGAAGCTCAGCCCCCTCTCTACCCACACTGCCTCGGGGCCCAAGGCTGCAGGCAGGACCGTGGGGACGTTCAGGGTGGCGCTGCCCGGGGCTGTGTGTCCGCAGGACCAGGCCAGAGCCAGCCAGCCCCGGGGGCGTCGCGACACAGGCCCGCCTCCCTGCGCTCCTGTTTTCCCTGACCCTCAGTTTGGATTTCTCCCCTTCAAGTCCCGAGTGCAAAGGGTGTGCTTGCTCCATCCAGTCTCCGTGGACGTCAGAGGCCCCCATGTGGGGACTTCAGGCAGGCACCTCTGTCCGGCGTGGGCTGCCAGCGAGCAGTCGGGGTGTTCGCACGGTCACACTGACCCCCCCAAAAGCTCCATTTGCGACTTGAATGTCGGCATGCCATCGGTGAACGCTGCCCAGGCCATTCGGGGACCGCCGGGCATGGCCGGTTCCCTGTGGAATGCAGGAGGCTCCCTCTGAGGCCTGGACCTTCCTGGAACCGGCAGCGGGTTCAGGGCAGACCCATGTACAGGATGCGTTTGCCAGGGGCCGTGAGGAACGGAGGCTGCCCGGGGAGCCCCGCGAGGGGGGGCAGTCCATGGGGCGCCCGGTGGCTGGCTGCTCCCACCGCGGAGACCCCCAGCGCGGGGCGTCGGGCGCACCGTGCCCCGTGGGCACGGCCATGTGCCTGTCGGAGCTGCTGGTCCCACGTTTTTGGTCCCTTCCCAACCAGGAGCAAACACTGAGAAGAGCAGCAGCCAGGACATATTTACTTCTTTGTGCCCAGACTGCATCCACCCATCCGTCATGGAGCCACGTGACGTGCACAGTTCCTCAATAACGTGGTCTATTCAAAACCAAAGCAAAGACCGAAGCACTAGTAAAGCTGCTCTTTGCCTGACCGGGGCGGGACCGGAATGATGCAGTGGAATTTCACACACACTTCAGAACAAACCGCTGCGTGGGAACTCTGAAACCACGCAACGTCGTCTGTCGAATGCCGCGGTGACGCCCGGGCCGAGGGAGGGCCGGGCCCGCGCAGCGAGAGCGGACGCAGCCACCTCCAGGGACCGTCCTGCCGCCTTCTGTCACACACCAAAGCTCACCCGCACCTTCCCACGCTGCAGGCAGAGGCGGTGTCCCTCAGCCACGTCCAGGCCCCAGGGCCACCGTGCGGCCAAGACCTGCTCTGAGCGCCGGCCCGGGGCCGTGGCCCGCAGCAAACTGAAGACAGTGAAGATGGCATGACTCTTGCGGGGACGCAGGACGAAGCTGTCAATAAATACGCAGACGTACACGGGGAGATGAGAAAAGAGCCAACCTGGATGGCGCGCGCACACGGGGGGCGCACCTCATGGACCCCTGGGATGGCGGCCCTGCCCTGGGGGCACGGCCGGCAGCTCACGAGGGAGTCGCGAGGCGCACCCCCCGCCCGCCTCCCCGGCCAGGCGCCCGTCTGCTTTGTGCAGCTGTGAAGCGTTGCGTTCTGACTGTACACAGGGCAGCCGCTGCCTGCGCGGCCAGCTGATTGTCGCGGGAACTCTCTGCTATGAGGGGCGCAGCGATGGTGCCCACGGAGCGGCTGCTTTCGGGCCCTTTCTCACCAACGGGCCCTCAGGGCGGCGCCCAAAGCGGGGCCTTGGTGCACTGTGGGCGCACAGCAGAAGGACCCAGGCACAGCGCCCTTGCTGGGGGCCCGGACGAAGGTGAAACGCGGGCAGGGGACCCCAGCTTCCCGGCACTCGGCCCCGCACAGCCGCAGAGAAGCCTCGTGTCCGGCCGGGCCTCGACAGACAGCACACCCTTGATCCTGTCCCTCGGTGGCAGCAACAGAGCCGCTGACTGGCCGTCTCCAAGTCCGCGCCGTCCGCATGGCTAGGATCTAAGAAGCCCGCATCCAAAATCAACAGTGACCGTCTGCCGAGAGTAAGTTACGTGAAATGCAACCCAAAGATTCACGTGGAACTGAAAATGCCCGATGCGGTCACGCAATTGTCGACAAAAGGTGTTTTCCCTAAAAATCAACATTTAACTATCAAAAATAAATTTCTAACTTTAAATGTATGTAACCACATAATTGGTCTGTAGCAGTTTCTTAATTTTCGCACTTCCAAGCAGAGCGAGAAGGCGGGCGGCGGGAAGGGGGGGGGTCTCAGCGGCGCGGCTCTTGGTTCGGATTCTCCTCGATCCCCCGGGCGAAGAGCTGCACCAGCTGGCAGTGGACCCTGCGGAGACAAAGGGCTGCGCTGAAACCCCGCGCCCCCGGCCCCGGCGGGGGCCACCTTCACGGCGGGGAGGGCTGCCTCGTGGCCAAGCTGGGTCCAGCCCCGTGCAGACGGGTCAGCACCCGCAGTGAGTGACTCGTTCACACACCCAGAGACCGGCTCTATGCACTAGGGCGGGCGGCAGCCACGTGGAGACCCGGCGATTGGAGGGCTGGCTTCTAGCTCCAGCAGGGCGACCACAGGCAGCCCCTGTCCTGCCTCGGTCCTGCCAGTTCACGGGGCCCCATGCGCGCGGGCCACGCTGTCAGGAAGGACGGGGCCCCCGGCCAGTGGGGCTCGGCGCTGAGGAGCAGGCTGGGGTCCCGGGCGGCCATGCGCCATCCTGGTTACCGACGGCCGCACGGCCTCCTCGGAGACGCCCAGGGATGGACGCGGCCCCTCGGTGGCCCCCACTCAGGTGTGGCCACATTTATCACGATGTACAGGCTACTCTTCACACAAAATTACCTTTCATAATTTCTAGGGTCGGCTATTTCTCCAGAAAACTCATAAGCCAGCATTTTACTAAAACATTCCATTTCCTCAATGTGTGAGATCAGCCCACAGCAACTGAAACCCTGTGGGTAGGACCAGCCCGCGGGTCTTCCCGTGGCCTTGTGGCCCCGTGTGCCGGCGGACGTGAGCTGGGCGGTCGCTGACCGTCACGCGGAGCGCGTCCTGGCCATGGACACGGAGCGCTCGGACTGCGACCGGGGTGAGGCCGACGAGGCCGACGAGCCCGCCCCGCCCAGCAGCTCGGGCTGGACGCCGACGGAGCTAGAAGACCCGCGGCCGCACCTGGCCCGGCGGCGCGCTGGCCGGAGAGCCGCTGCAGGGGCCGAGGCACGAGCAGGGCCTACACGTGCCCTCGGGGCTGTGGCTGGGAACGGCGGGCACGCTGTCAGCTGCTCCCATGCGGTGGGCGTCGGGTGCCCATTCACACCTCGCCTGTCTCATGGGCTCCGCACCGTCATACGGCCACGCGCCCCGGCCGGTCGGTTCCCTTAGAGCCGACCGAGGTCCTGAAGGCCTTGGCAGGTGGCCCTGGGCCTCCCCCGCTCACCTGTGGTTTTGCACCCACACCTCATTTAAGGGGAAAAAGCCTCATACTGTGCCTTTCCAAGGGAGGAATAGTTCACCCAGCTACGTAACACGTCACACACACGCATCCCCCGGGGCATAGTTACAGGTTTCTAATGCCTAACACAATGAGCCCTGACAGGTTTGGGGCGGCCCCCCTTCCCGCACCGCACCTTCTGGGGGAGCCCCCCTGCCGCCCACCAGGCCTGAGCCGGGACCCCACCCGGCTGAGCCCGAATTGGGCAGTAGGCTGGGCCTCTGCGGCCAGAGCACCTCCTGGTGGACGCAGGAGCCCAGGACTCAGCAAGGGCCCCGGCGGACGGCCGTCTGTCTAAGCAGGGACGAGGCCAGCGCTGGCACGCAGGGTGTGGGATAGAAGGGACTGATACCGAGGGGCCTCAGGAACCCAGGAAGGCGACCCACGCGAGACAGCAGCGCCACGCGTGGAGGCGCGGGCGCCCGGGGCTGCCGAGGGCCCGCGCGGCGGGCGCCGCACCCACCTGACCTCGACGGCCGCGCTGTGGAGCACCTCCCCGTCGCAGTTCCAGGAGCTGCGGGAGGCTTGGCAGCAGCAGGGCGCGCGGTGGCTGCAGCCCAGGCCAGGCCCCGGCTTGCCCCGCGCGTCCGCCTCGCCGTCCTCGTCCCCGGCGGGCTTCGACACGAACTGGAACCTCTTCACGCGGTGGACTTCGACGAAGGTGAAGTCGAACTAGCAAGAGAGGGGAGAGGGTGTCCCCCAGAGTTGTGGGGCGGGGGCGGCCCGGCCGCTGCTCTGGCCAGCCCATTGTCCCTGGCCCCACGCGTGCACCTCCCCCTTGGGGCCGTGGCCCCAGGCAGTGCCCTGGGCCGCGCCGTCCAGCTCACTGGGCGGCTGGGGGTGGACGGAAGCCCGGGACCTGCCTTCCCAGGCGCCCGGCTCAACACTCTGAGCACCTGGAAACCCACCCTGCCCGCCATGATGACCCCTTGTAGAGACTTACAGAATTCCTTGTCTTTTTCACAAAAAGCCACAAAAGCACACTACGGGAGTCGTATTTTTACTAGCACAGTTTAAGTGTTTTAAAAAAGCATGTTCACTCAAATCGGACACTGACCCCCGGATGTCCGTACCCCGTCAGGCTCGGGGTGTCCCCGCCCTAACCGCAAGGACACCAGCGGCCAGGGCGGAGGCTGTGGGGGTTGCGCCGGGCCGGCCCTGGGCGCCGAGGGTTCCCTGCGGGCCCCCAGTTTTGCTGCCTCGCTGTTTTCTGTGTGAACAGGAAGAGACTGAACGTCTCCTGGTCTCTGTGCTCAGAGTTAATGTTTTTAAATGAGCCTTCGCCCGAGTGAACGGCGACTCTAAGTTTAAAGCCAGTGAGACGCTGCAGGCAAACGGCCCCGCCCTCCTCCCTGGCGAGGCTGGGCGCCAGGCTTGCGAGGGAAGGCCGCCCGGGGCGGGCCCTGCGCCCACCTGGTCGCACTGGTTGGTGTGCCGGACAAGGAACCTCAGAAAGTTGAACCTGGAGCACTTCCGGATCAGGATCAGGTCGGAGGACCCGTCTCCCAAGTGGGCGGCCGGGGACAGGCCCCTGGGGCTCCGGGGACAAGCACAGGACATGTTTGTGGCGTTGATGGCCAGGAACTTGCCGGAAACGACTTTCCACTCCTCCACCTCTTCTGCAGCGGACAGAAGCAGCGGGGCCCCGTCAGGCGTGGGCGCCCCGGAGGGAGGCCGCCTCCCGCGCCCTCTGCCTTGGGCTCTCCCGGGGCTCTCCCGGGGCTCGTCCGGGCCACCGTCCGGTACAGACGCCCTGCAGTCCACTGTCTGTCACGACGCTAAGAACGCCCACCACGCAAGCTGGGCACTCGCTCAGGAAACCGTCGCTGGTCCTCACGTGGGGACTTTGGAACCACGACATAGAACAGGGGTCACGTACCCCGGCCTGCTGGCGCGCTAAGGGTGACCTTCCCTTTTTTAAGTGACTGAAAGATCTAAAGACTAATACTTGGGGGACCCACGCAAGTTACATGAAACTCAAACGGCAGGGCCCGTGAGCGAGGTTTTTGGAGCACAGCTGAACCCGTCCCTCTGAGTGGCCGGCAGGGCCTCACGACTTCACCACGCACACTCCCCCGTTCCCGACCGGTCCCGGCCCGAAGCGCCAGCGACCCAGAGGAAGGTGGCAAACGCTGCGCTTCCGAACCTCTGCCCTTCCCCCGAGCCTGGCCAATGGCTGCCCTCCGCTGCTGCTGACCTTAAAGAGGGGACGCAGGCGCAGCGCAGCAGGGCCGCGGGGGCGGGGGCGGGGGCCGGCCCCAGCGCCTGACCCTCTGCGCAGAGTGAGGGCGGGAGCTGCCCCGGAGGCCCTACCGGAATTCTCCAAGCCGTAGAGCGTCCTCTTCTGCTCCTCCTCCAGCTGCTGCTTGCTCTGCCGGCAGACAAAGCACCTGAAAGACAGGGGCACCGCCTCACCTTTGCCCCGAGGCCTCCCCAGCGACGCGGGAGCGCGCCCGCTCCGAAGCCTGCGAGCCTTTGCGCGCGACGAAAAGGTCAACGTCCAAGGCTAGTTAAAAATGCTTCCTGCACGTGTTTATTTGAATTCTCAAAATTAGATTTACTTTTAGAAATCGCGCATCAGCATGTCCTCCTCTAAGACTGGTAACCACTATCGAGGGAAAGAGCACCCCCAAGGCCCCGGGGCTGGCCCCCGGCGTGGCTGGTGCGGCGCCGCGCCAGCTGGAGACCCAGGCGCGAAAGGCGGCCGTTCCGCACGTGTGTCCCGCTGAGCCTGAGTCACTGTCACTGGACAGAGGGCGTCACGGTTATCGCAGCAAGTGACTCAGAACTCACTCCCGAGGCTAGAGCACATTTGTGGCCTGGGCCCCCCGCCCTCACGCCACCAAGTGGGGCGGGCGCTACGCTGGCGAAGTCGGCTCCCTGCGGGAATCCAGCAACGTCTGCCGCCCGCTGTTTCGACTTAAGGGTCTCAAATTCTCCACTCAAGGGGGAAAGGGGGGCGGGTGGAGGAGGTCCAATGTCTGAGTGACTTCGAGGGACAGTCCGCGTCCCTCAAAAACCCCCGGCCTCCGCGTCTGTCCTCAGACTGAGCAGCAGGGACACGCGGTGCTGCCGCCATCGGGCCACGGGGCCACAGGGCCGGTCTGAGGACGCCTTCCTTCTCCTCTAACCGGGCCCCACGCTGAGGGATACGCTGGGGCACGGCAGGCGGCGAAGGCGCCGCCGTGGTTCTCACGTGGACGCCCCCGGAGGCTGCGAGGGCGGGTCGGCGAGCAGACCGGGCGGTCCTGGGCCACCCTCACCTCGGCGCCTGTGCCCACCGGCCGTTGTCTGCTTCCGGTCCCGGGGCCGGGCCGGGCTTGGGCTTCCCAGCGGCAGGGCTAGGAGAGGCCAGGGCCTCAGGTGCCCCGCGTGCGTCCTGTGTGGTCACGTGCTCCCCGCAGCGCCCGGCACACGCAGCTACGGGGGTCTGGCTCTCGCCATTCCCTGCCTTTGTCACCGCAGGCCCCCGCGGACGGTGTGGATTGGACCACGCCTCCCCTCCTGTCCCATCGTGGGGCAGGGGGCCCGTCACGGGAGGGGCGACGAGGCATCCTCGCTCCGGGTGCGTGCGAACCGGGAAGAGCGACCCTCCCGCGGGCACAGAGCCGGCACCCCTGCCCTGCGCCTGGCGAGGCGCTGCAGGAGCCCGCAGGAGGCACGAACCCTGCGTCCCGCCCCGCCCCGCCCCGGCCGCGTCTCTGGCGGGCAGCCCGCGCTTACCCGGCCCAGCAGGGCTTCCCGTCCCGCGGCGACCCCACCGTGTGCTGTGCGGGCAGGAAAGACACGGTCCCCTCGTAGCAGTGATGGGACAGGAAGGTCTTCAGGCCTGAGGCGGGCGCGGCGGGGGGAGGCAGATTCAGAAACCGTGGAGGGAGCGGGGATGGGCGCGGCTACCCTCGGGGGCGGGGCGGGGGGGGGCGCGGCTACCCTCGGGGGCGGGGCGGGGGGGGCGCGGCTACCCTCGGGTGGGGGGCGGCAGCGCGTCCGGTTTGGGGCCGCAATGCCGTTCTGAGTGCACCTTCTCAAGGAATAAAGCTCCCCTAGTTACTATTCGTTTCGCTCCCAAAAAGACGGTTTTGATTTCAGTACCTGGAATTATTTAACTGAATCCAAATTTGCCCAAAAGCAACTAGAGGGGGCCGTGCACGGTGGATGGCGCGTGTTCAGCGCCACCCCGGACCCCCCGCCCCGAGCCTCCCCGGGCTCTGCACCCCACGTCTTTTCGGCACATGGAAGCTGCAGGCGCCCTGAGCCACGCAGACGTCACTTCTGTGGGGCCTGGAAGCGAACGCCGTGTCCCCTGGCTCAGTGATGAGAGGGGAAGAGACCGGCTGTGACCGAGGGCGGGTCTCAGGGTGCCCGGGGCCGGTGGCTGCGCGGGAGCCGGTCCTCGAGGCCTGTCTGTCACAGGCGCGCCCGCCTCTCGGGCGCGGACGGGGCCCCGAGGTGCGCGGACACGCTCCGCTTCCCGCGTTGCCTGAATCCCGTTACCTGAGAAGTTGTATCTGACGAGCCCCATCCAGCGCTTCTTCTCGCTGTCCTTGATGATGTCCCCGTAGAAGCCGTACCCCAGCAGGGACACCGAGTACCGCAGCAGCGCCCCGTTGTGATGCACCGAGGTCACGTCCATGGCCAGCGAGTCCCCTGAGGAGAGAAGCCTCGGTGGGAGGGGCTCCACGGCCACCCCCCACGGCCGGGTCCCTCCCCCTGCCCTGCAAACACCATCGGAGGCTCGACTGAAATGCAGGTGACGCAGCAGGTGACGCAGCAGGTGCCGCGGCAGCCGTCTGCTCTCAGGCACCCTGCTCTCCAGTCAGATGACAACATGTGCAGAACAGGCTGGGAAGGCCACCGTAAGGGGCCAGCACACGCGTGCCCCACTGAGCTCACTCAGTGCGACCCGCGGAAAGGAGGGGACGTGACAATGAAGGAAAGGCGCGTGTTCAAAGGCGCCACCCGGAAGGTGCCGGCACGCACAGCAGGGCCGCGCGTCTGGGTGACGCAGCCGTCAGGGAGCAGGGCTGGGACAGGGCGCCGCGTGCTCAGGAGGCCGGGCCCCGGTGCGTCTGCACAGGTCGGCAGCTGCTCCCGTCTCTCTGGCCCGGCGGCGCTCACGCTGGGGGAGAGCGAGGCAGGCCACGCGGCACGGGCGGCTGTGGCGGCGGCCGGGGACTCGGGCCCGGGCAGGCCTGCCTGGCGGGGGACGCGGGCTGAGCCCCGCGCGGAGAGAGAGCGGAGCGCAGGGCGCGGGGCAGGCCGGGACCGCGGGGCAGTGGCCTGGCTGGTGCGCGGGGACGCCGAGGAGAGCCAGCCGGCCTGGGGGGGCCTGGCGCCCCGCCGAGGCCCTGGGAGGTTCTGAGCAGGTCCACGTTTCTGAGGGATCCCTGTGAGGGCGTGGGAAGTCGGGACGAGAGGGCGGGAGCCCCGCTGGCAGCCGGGCTGGGGCTCGGGGCACAGGCGGGTGCGCGCCCCTCGCTTGGCCGGGGGCTGCCCTCCGGGCGGTGCAGCTGGGGGCTGGGCACCTACCCACGATGATGTGCAGGGCTGACGTCTCCGCGTCGGTGGCGCCCACCGTGGAGTAGCACACGCAGTCCGTCGAGCCTGATGAGGGAGGAGAAGGCCCCCGGTATCGTTACAGTAACTTTGGGACACTGTAGGTTTGCAGTTAAGTGTGTGGGAAGTGCTTTCTTTTTCTCCATGGCCCCAAGTAAATGAGGAATGAGCGCATTTGACCGACAACGCGAACACTGGAAATCCCGAGGTGAGCTCATCGAACACGCCGAGACTGGCCCTTCTCCGGCGTCGCGGGGGGTGGGGCCCCGAGAAACACCGCGGTGGTGGCCGTGGGGACTCAGTTCGGCGCCCTGCACCAGTGTCCCCTCCCAGTGGGGACGGGGATGGCGGCAGCATCTCCAGATGGAAGGTGCAGGCAAAGCGGGACAGCTCGTAAACGTCACAGAACAGCACCGCCGTGCCCACGGACACGCAGTTCAGCTTCCCCTCCTGCCGGGTCCGACCCGCAGCCTCGCCCAGTCCCGTCCCGGACGGCCGCAGGGGCCGGGCTGGACCCGCTGGGACCGCCCCGCACCGCGAGCCAGGCGCCTCCCCACCCTCCGCGCCTCGCCGGCATAGTGGGGGCGGCCTCAGGGCCCCAAGGGCGTGGCGGGGCGGGGCCACCGGTCCTGCTGCTAGCTCAGGACCCAGGTCGCGTGCGCTGTCCTCAGCCCAAGGGGGCAGAGACAGCCCCAGGCACCATTTCACAACAGATTCCAGAACCCCGTGCCCCAGGTTCTGACCCAACAGCTTTGCGGAGCAGCCGGAGAGCTGGAAAACCCGGGTCCAGGTGGCCCAAGAATAAACCACTTGACAGAACGTACGATGGCACAATACTGCCACCAGCCACGACGGGTCGGGCTGACCCCGGGTTCACGGGCTCTGGCCACAGGCCCCAGAACGCCCTGCGGGTCTGAAGCCAGAAGTTCATGCTCCTCCTCCAGCGGCCGGCCAGGCTGCAGGCGGCGTTGCTGCCAGTTAGAGACAGAGCCTGGTCAGAGCAGGAGGAGCTTAACTGTTTAATCCAGGCTGAAGGTGGCTTCCGATGGCGACTCGCGCGTGCACGTTCGCGCTGGCACATCATAATGTGCGTGGTTTTTGTTAATCTTGACTTGCGTGACACCCAATTCCAAAATGAACCACAAAGTAAAAATGTTTAAACCCATGTTTAAGGTTACAGGAGTGACTAATTCTTAGCATGTCATTAACCAAGCAAAACGCGGGGCTTCAGACTCCCCCCACACCCTCCTCCACACCGAAGGGCCCCAAACGAGCGGCACGAACGTCCTGGGACGGCGAACTGCAACCTCGGGCCCGGCCCCGGCAGAGCCCTTCCGGCCCCTCGAAACCCCGGAAGTTCCCAGAGTCCCGCGCTTCCCCTCCGAGCCCGGGGCACCGTTCACGTTCTTCACCCACCGTCCTTAGAACAGAACCACCCAGACACCCAGCCTCCCCGCGTCGAATCAGATGTCGCCTGCGTAATCGTTGCGTCGGAAACGCAGCAATGACGCGGTGCTTGGCTTCTCCGTGGCACCAGGCCCTACACATCCAAGACTCCGGAGGCCCCACTTTATTTCTGGGTCCCCGGCCTCTGACTGCTCGAGGCTCAGCAGACACGGAAAGGAAGCCGGAGGCCTGTTAAGGGAACCGCAAGGAGAGCTCTGTTCTGCGGAGAAGCAAGCACCCCGACCACTCTGCAGCCCACCACGCTGGGCCCCCGGATCCCCGCCCGGCGGGGCGCCTCTCAGCTGGGGGCGCATGGGCGGGACGGGGCGGGGCTGCTGGCCCGCCTGGCCAGCTGTGCAGGGGCCTGGGCCCTGCTCTGGGGTCAGGGATGGACGTGGCCCACTGGTCCCCAGCCCCAGTTCTCTCAGTGACAGACCAGGGCTTCAAATCCACTCAGATGCCCGGACTGTTGGTCTTTCCCCCAAGACGCCGTTTCTCCCTTGACCTTCTAAGATTCAACGTAACCCCTGGTCCCTTCTCCAGGGAGGAGACGTGGCCCAAGAGGAAGGTCTTGTTCACGTGGGCTTCGTGGCTGGCCCTGGCATCGACCCCGTGGGAGCCTCATGGTGGCCCAGGCCCAGCGACGCGCCCCCCGCTCTCAGGCCCTGCATGGCCGGACGCTGCACTTCCTCGCGACCGCATCAGCCGCATGGTTGTAACCCCCCCAAGCACCGCCCGCGGGGGCGCCCCGGCCCGACACCGTCCCCCTGGGGAGCGCAGTCGCCCAGGGCGGGGCAGGTGGCAAGCAGCAACCACTCCTGCACCGACAGCCGACCACACTGCCGTCTTCCTGCCGCATCCTGGGCGGGACACGGCCTTTCTGAAGCGGAAGCGACAAAGCTCAGCTCCCAGGAGACGCACACCGGCCTCTGGGTCCCGGGCGCTTCCCTCACGCCCGAGACAGAGTGCTCGGGGCCGGCGCGCGCGTCCATGGGCTTCTCCGGGCAGAGGCCAGGCCTGCCTTGCCCCCGGCTGGGCGCCGTGGCCTGGAGTGCACAGCGCTCCCCGCTCCACGGCTCCGTCCACCCCCAGCCAGCGCGGGTCCCACGGGGGACGGCGAGGGGCAGGCGGGAGCCGTTAAGCTCCTTTCAAACTTTAAGAGCTTCAGGTTTCAGGGGTCACACCATCCGTGAAGGAAGAAAAAACGGGCCAGAACACAGAAAAATAAACGCCAGGTAGCCCAGGACACACCACGTACGAGAGCCTAAACTTGGAAAAAGGTGGTAAAACCAAGCAAGGGCGAGTTCACGGAGCAAACGCCGCCGTGGTCGATCAGAACAGGACTCCCCGCCTGCGCGGGGCGGGCGGAGGGGGTAGCGGGTCTCTGCTCTCCGGGCGCCCACGCCCTCTGGGCGACCCGTGGCCTCGCCGCAGGGCCCCGCGCCTTCCTCCTCGCCGTGAGCGATGATGGTGCTGACCTCACACGGTCAATGTCCGGCAAACAGAAGTCCCCGGTGCGCATCCAGGAGTGTTTACCCAGAGCTCGGCCACGCCCCCCGACGCCAGGCCACGCGCCAGCCGGAGGCGCCTCGCCCCTGCCGAGCTGTTTGCAGAGCCCTGAACCTGCAAACAGAAGCCTGCCCTTTGCTGAGGCCGACGCTACGATTTCTCACAGGCCTTTGGGCTTCCCAGGAAGCTGCAAAAAGCGCTGAGCCAGCCCTCCCAGCGCAGCCCGGCTGCTGGGGCCAGCGGCCCTGCACCCCCGGACTCCCTGCCTGCCGCTCGGGCTCTGGGCCCCGCCGGGTCTGAGGGCGCCCTGCCTGCCGCGCTCCGGGGACTGGCAGCGACTCGCGAGCCCCTCGCCCTCCCCACCTCCAGGCAGTCCCCCCGCCGCCGGCCCCTCCGCCCCGCTCCCAGGTGCTCGGCATCTGGCAGAAGGCAGGGCGGCGCCAGCAGGACAGGACCCCTTCCCAACACCCCTCTGTGATCCTGTGATGGGTTGTTAACCATCGCTCGGAAAAGCAACAATAGCTGTGTGGTGATAGAAGCACAATTTAAACGAAGCCGTAAACAGGAAGGAAAACCAAGAACGAAGTCCCCAGGGTAAGTGGCCCGGTCACTGCTGTCAAGGAGGAAACGCTGAGATGTCCCGAGGTAACGACCGTGTCCGGGGCGCAGGAAGAGACGGAGATGGGAGGCCCATCAGTCAACGGGGGCCGCCGGCCTGCGGCGGGGCTCGCGCCCCTGCCCGCACACCGCGCCCCGGGGCTCCCCTGCGGCCGTTCGCAGGACGACCTGACAGGCCAGGAGAGCGCGGTGCCGGGACGGGGTGGGGCCGGGTTCCCACAGCGGCGCTGCGGGCCCCGGGCCCCCTCCCGGAACCAGCCGCTGCGCCTCCCCCTGGGGCCCACAGCGACGGCGGATCCCCTCGGACCGGCGCCCACCCTCCTCCCTGCCTGATGGGCCAGAGTGGACGGCCTTGCCGCCTCGCGCAGCCGGCTGCGGACCCCGCCCACGGCCCAGCCTTCCGGTCAGCCGTGGCCCCACAAACCCTCCCTCTTGAAAAGACTTTCCACCGGGGGTCGGCACGTCTGTGTCCCTGGCGCTGAGCGGCTCGGGCAGGGGCAGGCGGCCAGCTCCTACCTGCGGGGATGATGCCGACGCGCAGCCGGCTGGGCACCAGCGCTGCCCGGGGCTCGTTCTGGTCCACGCCGGCGCTCCTCTGCGTCCTGCCGATCAGCCCGTGCAGGATCTCGCTGAACGTGCCGTCCCCGCCGACGCAGACGATCCTGCGGCAGCGACACAGGCGTGAGGTTCCCCGTGGTGCCGTCCCCATGACCCCTCCCCCCGCAGCTCCTCGTGCCGCGCCCACGAGGGGCAGTGTGTCCCTGAGCACCGGACGGGCCGGCTGCCAGGGCACAGTCCGTGTGGCCCGCCACGTGGCCGACCCCGCGCCCATGTCCCTCCCGAAGCCCCGCCCCGCCCGCAGCGCGGCCTGCCTTCTTCCCGCAGCCCGATCTTCCCAGACCCCGTGTCGGCGCCAGCCCTGAGTTACACGCAGCCACCGGGAGCCCAAGGCCCCCAAAGGCCACCAGGCGCTGGAGTGGCCCGAGCCCCAGACCCCCCTGTGCCCTCCCTACAGAGCCACCACTGCTTGGCCCACAAGCCTGTGCTACCCGCAGGCCTCGCCATGGACACAGAACCAGACAAAACGAAACCAAAACAGGATACCTGGCCTTGGCTGAGGTCTCCAGGGGGACCCCACCGCCAGGGGCCACTCTGGGAACTGGCCCTCTCTCTATGGCAGGTGCCAGCAGCCCCCGCCCTTCCTGCCCGGCCCCCGCCCCACCCCCGCCAGCCCAGTCCCCGCCGCCAGCTTAGAAGCTTCTTTCCCGTTTCGTCAGGCGCCTGCACCGACTCCCCCACAGCCCCCCGGCCCCCGGGAGAGCTGACCGCCTCCTGCTGTGTGACCCCGGATCTGCCTCACAGGACCCTCCTCCGCGGTCGCTCCGCATGCTTCTGCGGACCCCAGGCCACGGGCGCCCCCTTGGGACCCCAGCTGTGTGCTCCTGGGGCCCCCCAGCAGCGCGGACGGGGGCGCAGTGATGCTCAGGGCACGGAGCCCTGCTGAGCCCACAGACACGCCCCGCACGGGCTGCACCGCGGTCTCCAAAACCCGCTTCAGCTCCTCGGGGCCCGGCGAGTGTTCTCCAACCATCGGGTGCTGGGGCCCGTGGGCTCCCCCAGACGCCCCGAAAACTGCCCCCCGCCTTTGCCTGCCGCCGTCGCCCCCCCAGCTCTTGCCCTCTTGCCCACAACCCAGAACCTCCCTCGGTCCCTGTAGATCCAATCCCACCTCCCTGCTATTCACCGTGTGGCTTTCAAAAGCGCGTTCCCAAAACACAGGCCCCACGCTGCAGCCCCCGTACGCACGAGCTCCCCGCGGGTCCTCGCCGCCTTTCCCCGGTCCTACACGCCGGCCCGCGCGCCTGGCTGAAGAGGCCAGTGTTCCAGGAGCGGACGGGCCAGCAGGAGCCAGCCGCACAGGCACAAAGTCGCCTGAGGGGCACACCGCCCCTTCTGGGCCGCTGCGGCCAGAAACGCCCAACCAGGGCCTGGCCAGGAGGCAACGTCCCGCTGACCTGAACCGAGACGCGCGCCGCAAAGTAACAGGCCTGCCCTCAGCCGCCTCGCCCAAGGCCGAGCTGCTCCGACTTTCAGACTGGAGAGACGGGGCGGCGCTGGGGGCAGCCGCGACGCGGGGTTTCCTTTTGCTACAAATAGATAATGGGACGTCGGGCAGAGTCTGCATGAGAACAGCAGACAGCCAACAGCACAGGCCTGAACCTCCTGGGCTGGACCCGTGGTTCGGTCCTGTAAGAGAGGCCCTTGGTTTTAGGAATAAACACCGAAGCACGCGGGGGCCACAGGGGGTCACGCCTGTAACACGTGCTCGGGTCGTGCCCTGCCGGGCGCGAGGCCGGAGGGAAACAGCCGTCGGACAGCGGTCTCCCCAGCCCTGCCTCGTCCCGGTTCCCACGGGCAGCACGCTTGCTCTCGCGACGGGGGAGAGAGTGTAAGGCAAGGCGGCGAACGAGACTGGGACAGAGGGTGAACCCGGTCAGGACCCTGACTCCCGGGCCAAGGCGGGGGAGCCACTCACCCATCGTACTTATCCATGTTCGTCTCGTATAAGGTCTCCTTGGCGTGGTTGGCGCGCTCCGTGACTGAGGGAGAAAAACCGAGATGCCGTACGGTTTAGCCTCGCGTCTGTGAGCCCCGCCGCCCCGCCATCAAAGGCCCTAGGCACCCCTCGGGGGGCTCCTGTGAGAGGCCCCTCTCAGCTGGAACCCGAGTCCCTCAGAGAGAAAGTCCCAAGGGAACGGGGCCGTCTCTCAGAGAAACACCCCACGGGGCAAGAGCGCGCGGGCTGGGCACTTAATGGCCAGCAAATAATTTCTTTTTGGAAAGAAATTTCTATTTTACAGTTTTTCCGTATTATCCAAGGTACTCGGACAATTTTAGAAAACACCAAAACGCAGAACACATCAAATCCGTCCGGAGTCTGCCCGCCCCGCGGGAGAGACGAAGCCTCCACTGAGACGCCGCCGCCGCCGCCGCCGCTCAGCACCCTGTGTTCCCAGCGCCACGTCGCTTCCCAGCACGAAAAACCCTTGGTAAAGACCATCTGAAGGACGGCACGCTATTCCCTCAGATCCACTATTTTATCGGCTTGTTTCCTATTGGGGAACATTTGTTTTCAATGTTTTGCTGTTATAAAATGGGCCAAGGGGCTTCTGATTGTTTTCTTAGGAAAGATTTAGAAAACTGCACTACTGGGCAAAACCCTCATTTTTAGGGCCTTTGGCTCAAGTGGCCCATTGCCAAGTGCCCCTGAATACAATTAGACCCTCCAGCTGCCCATCTCCCGGGGCCTTCTCGGCCCTGGGAACTCGCTCGGAAGACGCAGAGCCACAAACGTGGTATCGCATCCTATTTCTTACAATGTCACTTATCAGTAAAGTTGTTTCTGGAACATTAACTGCTTGTCTCTCTTTCCTACAAGACTTTCCTGTCCGTGATCTTCTGTCCTTTTATCTTCATACTGTTTTTCTTGAGTGCTTTAAAGGCTAGGACTCGGCTAGAAAAGTCTGCATTCTTTATTTGTATTCTTATTTTGTTTTATAAGGAAGCGTGTGCATGCGCGCGCGTGCACACCTTCCATTTTGCTTAAAATCATCTTACAGGGTAAGTCTCCGGCGGCCCCATCGGAACCATTCCCCTCGCCCCTCGCCCGGCGTGACGGGGCGTCGGCCTTACCCACGACTTCGGTGGAGATGGCGGCCAGCGCGAAGAGGGGCGCCACCTTCCGCTCGTAAATCCGCTTGCCTTGGCCCTTCCCTCCGAAGGGGTTGATGAACACAAGCAAATGCTTCGGTCTGCACGCTGCGGAACAGCAACCGCGGGTGAGTCGCGCGGACGTGACAGAGGGGCAAGGCGGAGAGCCGTGTTACTGAGCCAACCCAGACCGCCTCGGTGTGACAGTTCTGCTGAGATCGTCCCACAGAAAGTATTTTTCAGCAGCCCCGGCCGGGTAGCTCAGTTGGTTAGAGCGTTGTCCTCAGGTGCCAAGGAGGTGGGTTCGATCCCAGGTCGGGGCACATGCAAGAAGCAACCGATGGATGCGTGGTAAGCGGAACAACAGACAGATGCTTCTCTCTCTCTCCCCCCGCCTTACTTCTCTAAAAAGTCAATTTTAAGAAAAAGTATTTTTAAGTCAAGGAACGCAACCTAACCACAGAGTTTTTTAAAAGGATAAATGGAACTACATTAAAATCAAGACTGTCCGTCCGTCGTCCAACGAATGGACTGCAGACAGCGAAAGTGCGAACCACACGGTGGGAAACGGCACCTGTGACTCATAAACCCAGTCACAGATTCAGACCCACAACACGTGAAGGGTTCCGACGCGTTGTGAAGAAGGGCAACCCAACAGAAAAACGGACAGCAGTCGCTGAACAGACACCCCATCGACTCCCTCTTGGCCCGGGAACAGAAATGCGTTTCTGCGCGTCCTCAGCTGATAGGGAAATGCAAGACGCAGCCGCAGCCGCGGCGGACCCCCCCGGGAAGGCCCGGTTGGACGGGGGTGGTGAGGTGCGGGGCAGCGGGGACCCCGGCGTCCATGGGCCGGGGGGCGGGGGCGCCGCTGGAAGTCCCGCTTTGGGACAGGCTGGCCGTGTCTCCTGAGGCTGGACCCGTGCACCGTCCCACCCAGCAACCCCGCCCCAGGCAGGCACCCAAGAGACGTGGAAGCGTGCCCAGCCAAGGACAGACACTGGCACGCATGCGGGGGCCACGCCGGGAAGCTGTCCCGATGGCCGTCGGCAGTGGCGTGGAGGAGCCACTGTGAGTCCCATCCGCGCCACCGCCACCACGTGCGTCGGCACGGCCGGGCCCCCCAGCGCCAGGCGGGGCCGGAACTCCAGCCAGGACCCAGCTGCAGGCGCCTGCCCCCGGTCCCCTGGTGAGGAAGTGTGTCTGTTTCAGGGACACGTCCCCTCAGCTGGGTGACAGGTGGGGCTGTGGGGGGGAGGGGAGCAGAGGCCACAGCAGCACATGCATGACACACCCACATGCACGCACACAGGTAAACCATACGTGTGCACGCCTGTGTCCACACGGGTGGGTGCATAGGTGTGCATACACAGACAACACACATGGGCACACGTGTTCACTTGCGCACATGCAACACAGGCCATCACGCGGGCACACACACACAGTCGCCCCCCCCTACGCACGCACGTGTTTGTGCGCACGCAGTTCCGCAGCCACCGGCCTTTCTCTAGGTACCACGCGGGCCTCACGTACTCAGGCTGTCCAGCTGGTCCCGGAGGGTCTGCAGCCACAGGCGACATAGCTGCTCGTCCGCCCCGCAGAAAGTCACCTGCGCACACTTCCAGCGCCGGCGCCGGGCCCTCTTCACACAGTGCACTGCGCGGAGACAAGCGCGTCAGCTGCCCGCCCGCAGCCGCCCTGCCAGGGGGCGGGCGCCGTGACCTCCGAGCCGGTGGAGGGCCTGGCCACCGGGGGGGTGGGGAGCACGGGGGCGGCTGCCCGGGCGCACGTCCAGCTGGGAGGTCAGGGCGCCAGGGCTCTCGTCCTCCCGAGGGGCACCAGGAAGGCCCGCTTCTCGGTTCTCTTAGGCCACGGAGGAAAATAAAGGAAAGAAAATACAATCAAAGCCTAAACAGTGATTAAAATCGCATCAGGGAAAATGATATAAGGAAGTTTGTATAAAGATAAACCGAAGAAACACTGAGTTCATTAAACAAGGGACCCAAAAAGCTGCTTTCAGGGAACGGGCATGGCATGAAGGAGGAGGGCGTGTGGGCGGGGACACGCGCCCGGGCCCCGTTACCTGTGAACGCAAAGCAGGTTTCCATCTTCCGCCACTTCCCGCTGCCGGGGTGTCTGCCGTGGCTGTCCGTCTCCTCCACGGTGATGATCTCGGCCACGGGCACCGCGCAGGCGTCTGCAACGACAGCGCGGCTCTGCGTCGGGTGCGTACGTCCCTTCCCCGACGCACGGAGCCCGACGCCGAGAGGTCGGCCCCGTCGGCTCCCACGTCCTTCGGGAGCCCGAAAGTCAGGCGGAGTTATGTACGCGTAAGTTTTAAATTTGGAGCTAAGGAGATTCGGGCAGCTCGGTGTTATCAGGAGAGGGGTGTTGCAACCTAGAGAGTCCCCCGATGGAGGACGAAGCTCGTCCGACCAGCAGCTCAGCCCTCAGGCGGCGGGGCCAGCTGCCGCCCTCACCGTGGGGAGCGACTGGCGAGAACAGTGCCAGTCCTCAGCCCGGCTGAGAGAGACCCGAGCGGGCCAGGGCCCTTGGCAGCATTCACACTGGACAACCCGGTCCCGGGGCCACTGTGAGGCAGAGGCCGGGTGGGCGGGGGCTCTGGAGAGACTGGGACGCGTCCCATCGGAGGCCGTGGGAGACAGGGTGGCGTGGCTGGACGCAGGGATGTTCTCTGCTCCCGGCAAGCCAGGCAGGGGCCGCCCAGGAGCCGCGCAGGCACATCGGGAGCACAGTGACTGCGGGACTTCAGGCGCCTCAGGTGAGGCCTCCAGGCACGGCAGGGTGGACCCCCAGCCGAGAGTCGGGATCCTGGGGCTGCCACCGTGGGCCCGAGGACGTCCTGCGGGGAGCCCCAGGAGCCGCAAGGGCTGACGGGAAGCCCCAGAGGCAAAGCCCTCCAGCGAGAACCCGAGAAGGTCACAGCAACACGCCGGCCGCAGGACACACTGAGGACAGGGCGCCATCGCTCTGCACTGGGCAACCACTTGTGCTGGTGGGGTAGGCAGCCACCGAACACGCCGCCGCATGCGCCCACGACGCGCATACGGAGGCCACAGGCCAGCAAGTGCGTGACAGACCTCGGAGGAAGGCCTCACGGGACCCGGCCGTGGGAACACACGCGGCGCTTCGTTCTCTACTTGAGAGTAGGGGTGGCTGGCGTTCTACATAATCTTGCACCGGGCAGGAGATTAGATAAAACCATGAAGGCCTGTGTTCAGGGCACAGGAGGAGCTGAGAGGCCGCCTCCCACGGCACGCTGACCCAGCCGACCGCCACGTCGGCACCAGCAGCGCGCCTGAGCGCTCTCCCACGGCCCAGCCGGCCCGCCCCCCGCCTGGCCTGCGGCAGCCTTTCCCGGACAGGGGGGCCGCACCTGCAATGCCGGCGGCCACGGCCCGGCCCCGCCGGCCCCACGCTCAGCAGCTGCTGCCGTGGGGGTGGAGGCCGCTCCCGGTCTCACTCCTCGTCCCTGCCTTCCTGGGCGGACGGCGCCCTGTCGGTGGGGAGCACACCGGCCAAGGCTCTCAGGAGTTGCCCTTCTCTTTATAAAGTAACCACCTGACACCCCCTTTTAGGCAGCACCCCCGGGTGCCTCCCTAGAACAGGGCTGCTCACCCGGCACCGCGGCACCTCTGCTGGGCGCCAGCCAGTGTCTCCTGGGGGCCACATCGCCCGAGTGAGGGCCACGCCTCGTGGGGTTCATGTGCTCGGAACCCCTTCCCTACACAGAAACTTCAGGGGCAGACGGAGGCCGGTCCTGGGCGCTCTCCTGCGTCTCAGGCCCCAGGGGGCGCTGGGCCAGCCATGGGGGCATCTCACGAGGGCTCCACGTCACCCTCCTAAATCCAAGCACGTCTTCCCTGCTCCACCGGCAACTCCAGAAACTGCCTCCCCTCCTGCACCGCCCTCCCCCTCCCCCGCTCCTGGGAAGGGCGCTCTGTGCCGGGGAACCGGGGAACCCCGGGGCCTCTGAAGCCCTCCCCCCGGGCCCGCCCCAGGGCGCCGACAGCTGCGGGCTGTGCCCAGCCCGGGGCAGCGGAGGGCGGGGGGCCAGATGGAGAGCTGGGGGCTACAAAAGGTGGGGGGCTGTGGAGACGAACCCCACACCCGCGTCCTCCAGGGGGGCGCGGCCCAGGATCTGTGCCCCACGCCTCCAGCGGCCACTGCACAGTGAGGTTTCTCTCTCTCTTCCCCTTCCCCTCTCTCTAAAAATAAATAGGTAACATCTAAAAAATGAAAAAAGAATTAAAAAGGTTTCTTTAGCTGCACCTCACGGAGCGTGTTACAGCGACGCCATAAGGTGCTTCCGGGACCCCCCGCCCGGGTCCAGGTCGTCTCGGCTGTGGCTCCTGGGCGCTGTCTTCCCCTCTGAGACAGTCAGCGTTTCCTCGCTCTTCGTATTCTGGTTAGTTTTGTACCCCGGACAGTCTGGTTGTTATATCGTAAGGCTCTGAGTCCTGTTAAATTCCTCTCTTGGTCCCGGAGGGCTGTCTAGGTCTCTGAAATGGGGGCGACACAAGGGTCCACCCACAGGTCCTCTGAGGACTCAGGGGGGCGGCCGAGGCGCTGCAGGCGCAGGCAGAGAAAGCCAGGGGCGGCCCCAAGGCCGCCACTCCCTCCCGCTGACGTCGGCAAAGAGCTCCGGACAGTGGGGGCTGGGGGGGAGGGTGGGCGGTGCGCGGGGCGGGAGCCTCGTCTCCAGCTCTGACCCCAGTGCAGCCTGAGGTCTGACCCCAGTGCAGCCTGAGGTCAGGAGCGGCGCCCTGGATGCGGGCGGGCGGGCGGGCGGACGGCCAAGACGCCCGGGGAGGCCCGCCCTCCGGCCGAGCAGCCCGAGCGCGGCGGGAGGGGCGCAGAAGGGCGTCCTGACTCTGTGTGTGGGCTGCCTGGCCCCGGGCGCCCACGTGCGGAACGTGCCCGGGAGCATGGGGGGCCTGGGAGCTGAGCCACCATCCGAGCCGGCACCCACAAGCTGGGGGTGGCCCCCGCAGTGTGGCAATAGGGAGGCAACACCGGGCGGACCAGCGCGTGGCCGGAGCCCCTCCCACGAAGTGCCACGCACCTGCCATCCGTGGCCACCAGGCTGAGCACCTGCGGAAGAAGAAAAGCTTCTCCGGAGGAATTTGGCAGGACCCAGAGCCTCCCGAGGTAATAATCAAACTGTCCAGGCCCCAAAACCCATCCAAGGACCCGGAACCCGGTAGTGCTGACGGTCTCAAGGAAGAGACAGCGCACAGGTGCCACACCAGAGATAACAGGGCGGGGGCGGGGGCGGGGTGCCACATCAGCGCCCTACACGGCCACTGCACCACGCGCCGCGAGGTGCCGCCGAACGTGCTTACAATGAGCGGGGAGACGGAAGAAATGACGAGAAGGACCTGAGCGGAAAACTGAGAATGCGAAGTTCTGTATCTGAAATAAAAAGGTCCCTGGAGAGGCTGAAGAGCCGGAGGGATGAGAAAGGAGAGGCAGGGAGGAGGAGACAGGCCTGCGAACCGAAGGGGCGCCGGTTCGATTCCCAGTCAGGCATCTGCCTGGGTTGCGGGCCAGGTCCCCAGTGCGGGACACACGAGAGGCGACCGCCCGTGCATGTTTCTCTCCCTTTCTGTCTTCCCTCTTCCCCTCTCTCAAAAAGTAAACAAATAAAACCTTAAAAAACAGCATAGCTCAACTCTACGTGGTCTGAGGAAACACTTCAAAACGAAGGATGTGAACGAGTGGAAGCAAACGTACAGAACACAGATGTCCCGCAGGCATTAATGAACAGAAAGCTGGAGAGCCTGCACTAGCAGACACAGCGGACTTCAGGACAAAGTTGCCGGAGACAGGGAGGACAGCACCTTAGGGGAAAAGGGTCCATCCAAGACGAAGACGCAGCATCCTCAAGAGGCCTGCGCCGACCAACAGAGCGGGCGGACACGTGGCGCCGAAGCGGACCGACCCACCGGGCTAAGCAGAGGGGGGGCCGTTTTAGCTGGAGACAGCAACGCCCCCTCTAACCAGCTGGCCAGACAACTTGACAGAAGGTCAGCAAGGACGGGGGAGAAAGAGCTCAACCCCGTGGTCCAGGACCAGCCCCGATGCTATGAGGCTCCGCCCAACAGCGGCCGGCCACTCGGTCTTTCTAGGTCCTGTGGGACACGCGTGGGACACGGGCCACAGCAGACCATGCCGCCCCCACGCGCTCCTCATGTCCTTGAGGTCTCTTCAAACGAGGGCTGCCCGGGCGGGTCGCACGGAACCGGCCTGGCTCTGACGGTCCACCGGTGGACGGTCCGTCGGTGGACCTCTCCGTGCCGTTCCCCAGAGGAGGCGGGGCTCCGCCCTGTGCGCTCGGGCGGGCTCTCTGCTGGGTCAGGCCCGGGCGAGTGTGTCCCCCAAACTGCAGTAGAGCTTTTTCCAGGTGACCAGATTGGAAGGCCAGTCTGGAAGGCCAAAGTCTTTTTGGCCATCTGGATTAGCTGCTTCTACAAGATGTGACCTTGTCATTCTTCCTTCAGGAAGGGCGACTCGGGGGAGGGCCAGCCGACCGACCCAGGCCGCATCCAGCCAGCTGCCGGCCCGTATCAATAAAGCTGTAGTGGCACACGCAGCCACACGCCTTCATTTGCATACTGTCGGCAGCTGCTTTCTGCTAAAACAGCGGAGCTGAGAAATTGTGACCCACAAACCCTAAAATATCTGCTCTCTGGCCCTTTAAGAAAATGCTGCTGACCTATTTTGAATAACAAATACCAGCTCACCTTGGAATAATCTCAGGACAATGGCAGTTTTTCCGCTAATGCAAAATCATGTGACCTGACAATAGCGAGGCCAGTGCTCCCAGGGAGGGCAGGGGGGGGTGCCCACACTGTTCCCTCGACATCTGCTCTGAAACCCGAGGGCCTCTGAGCCTCTCCCTGCTGTGGCCTGAGGACGCACTTTACAAATGCTCCAGCCGTGACCTGCTCCTGAGCCCACCGCCTGCAAGGGCGCCCCAGCGGGGGCTGCGAAAGGAAGGGGGGGCTCCCTGTTTGAAGGTGGAGCCAGGGCAGAGCCCCTGCCCCCTCCCGCACTCACACCCCGCCCCCAGCCCCAACTGTAAAAGAACCCACTCAGAGTCTAAGCCCGGGACGGAACCCAGATGCAGTTTTGGGCCGTTCAAGTTCAACTAGCACAACCAGGCGCTCTGAGAAGCCTCTGTCGGGGCTTCCTGTTTTCAGTCGGCCCGGCTTCCGACCGGAGAGCGAGGCTGGCCGGGGCTGCCCCAGGGACAGCCCTCGCCGGGCGCGGCCGCCCTGCGCCTGCCTGCGGGTTGCTGTTGCTTCCCGACCCCGAGCCGCATGCCCGCTCAGCGACCCGCTCAGACCCACGCAGCGACCCACAGGGCAGAGCGCGTGCTGGGGGGAGAGCTTGCTCCCTTGGCAAATCACGTGCCTAACAGGCAACCAAGGCAGGGCTCCCAGTTTCCCCGTCTGAGGACAGGAGGGACGGCGGGAGACACGGAGGGGATCGGCTGAAATTACCTGAGTGGCCGCACCCAGCCCCGTGCAGGCGGGGCCCTGGCTGGGCTCCCTTCTCTGTCCTTTCGGGCGGGGGGGGGTCTCAATTCACCGCCCCCCCCGCCTGTCCCTGGAGCTCCATGGTGGCCGTCTGCCTGGCCTCGGGGGTAGGTCCTTCTGGAGCCTGTTTCTTTGCAAACCCCCACTTCCCCGCGCCAGGCCACAATCTGTCCAGGCACATCTGGACACACCTGGGGGCGGGCACCGCACTCCGCTCACTGAATCGACATCCAGTGCACAGGTGAGGGTCTCCTCGCCCTCAAGCCTGAAATCACCCACCGGGGGCTGATGTCTCTTAGGGTGCAGAGCTACAAGGAAGCCGGAGAGCTGGCACGGCTGCGTCCCCGCTCCATGCGGGGGGCGCAGAGGCGACATGCGGGGGCCGCCCCTGGGGCGGGCCGGCCGTGGGGGCCCAGCCTCGGGGTAGGGGGTGCCCGCCAGGAAGCTCCAAATGCCTGAACAGAAGCGCCATCAGGGTTTCTAAGAGCAGAGCAGCGACCGGCCCAGCAAAGAGGGTGGGCGGCTGCGGGGTGGGCAGTCCACACACACGAGCCGACCGCAAGTGGACGCTGCCGCCCCACAGAAGGCGGGACCAGTGACCGAACACCACGCTGGTAGCCGGCTGAGGATGTCAAAGCTGCAAACAGGCAGTGAGTGACCCTGTCCCAGACATCTCACCGAGCCCGCAGGTGCAGATGCTCGTTGGGCCAGTGGCTTCAACTCTCTGCGGCTCGGCCTCTTGTTGGGGCCAAGCGGAGGGGGGGCTGCCTGCAGGAGCCCACCGCGCGGGCCCAGAGGCAGCCCCTCTGAGGGGCGGCGGGGGCACTGTACCGCCGTCCTCGGGCCCCGGGATCCACAGGAAAGCTCAGGGGCCTGTGGCGCGGGCTGGGCTCCACCGCCAGAGCGTCACAGAGCAAGAGCTGGGAGTCAGGGCGGGCGAGGTGGCGGCTGCCAGGACCCTGGACTGTGACACCCCAGAGGAACATGTCCCCCAGAGGGGACATCAGAAAGACCCTAGAGGAGTGAAATTGCAGATGCCCAGCCACAGATAAGCTCTTGGCACACAAGGCCTCTGGGGACTCCCAGGCCAGAAGCCAAGCGTTGGTCGTGGGTCTGAGGCCACACACGGGGCCTCAGACCGACCTAGCACAACGGCTCGGCCCCGTCCGCACGCCCGCCGCGTCCGTGTCAGAAAGCGCCCGCAGCGCCACCGCCGCACCTGCAGCTGCCCCGAGGTGTCGAAAGGCATCGCGATGGAGGACCTCCACTGCCCCCACCCCAGTAACCGAAACAATAAACCCCTGCCCCCCCCAGCCCCTCCCGCTGGTCCTGAACCTGGACCGCGGTCCCCTCGCCCCCCTTCTTCAGACCAAGCAGCCCTGGCCCCGCTCACCACCCCGCCTGCCTGGGCCAGGCCAACAGCCTCCTGACCGCAGTCCCCGTGCCCCTCTGTCCACCTCTGCGCAGGACGGAGCTGTCCAGGGCCTTCCGTGGCTCGCACAGGGAAAGGGCAGGCCCCCACTGCGGCCCCTGCAAAGGCCCCCCACCGCCCCCGTCTGTATGCCCCGCCCATGCTGGCCTGCGAGCAGGTCCCTCGGCCTTTGCGCTTGCTGCCCCGCCAGCCTGGACCTTCTCTCCCCAAAGTGCGCAGGTGTGTCCAGGCCTCTGGTGTGCGCTGCAGCCGGGAAGCGGGGGCTGCTGGGACGCCCCATGCTGTGGGACCCACCCCCGCCCGCGGGCGCCCCTCCTCGGGCTTGCCTGCCTGTGTGTGCCCCTTGGCCTGTCCCTGCGGTGGAGGGTGCCCCGCTGGGCTGGGACTTTGTCACAGGCACGGAGCTGGTAGCTCGTGCCCTGCCCCACAGGCCTTCAGGAGCAACTTGGGGAAGGCAAATGAATGGAGCGGAACACGCCCCCGCCTGCCAGCCTGGCTTCCCTGCGCCTGGACGCCGCCCCCTCGCTGTCCAAGCCTGGCCTCTGAGATGCCCCCTTCCCCGGGCCACGTGACATCGCTGGGCCGAGCCTCTGCCCACCCCCTGCCGCGGCCCCCGCGGCTCTGCACGGCCTGCCCTTGGCGGGGCCCCCCGCCCACCACACGGTGGCCTCGGAGGCTGCAGCCTTTCCTTTTTTTTAATCGAAGTGACACTTCTCCAAACCAGAACAGCCCCACCCCCCAGCACATCCGGGACAGAAGGTCAGGGCCCTCCCTTCACTTTTCCCCCAGAATGAGCCCTGGACCCTGCAACCCTGCGACCCGGGGAGGCTGCCTCTGCGTTTTGAGTCTCCTTCAAGGGCAGCCTCTGCCCTGGGATGAACCAAGCGCCCGCGGGCCCCCTGGGGATCCTCCCCACACGGTGCCCTTCAGACTCCCACGCGTTGGTCCCAGGGATGCGGCTCCAGGGACACCTCTGGCCACCGCTGACGTGCAGGCGGCCACCATCTCTCCCCTCGCCCTCCAGGATCACATCCCACTGCCCTCCCAGGCGCCCGCCGGGCTCGCTCTTTGTAACCCCGTCCCCGGAGTGTAAAATACACTCGCTGTGCCTCGCCAGAGGCCTCCCCGGCCCCCACCGCCTCCCCGGTCCTCCCTCCCTCCCGGCGATCCCCCGGGACTCCGGCCGAGCCCCGGGCAGGCAGCGACCACTTACCCGCGCCGGGGACGCCGGCTCCGGGCCCCGGGCTGGGCCACCAGCGCAGCAGCGCCCGCGCCGGGTCCAGGCTCACGGCGCAGCGCTGTCGCTTCACCCACAGCACCGAGCGCAGCGGCTCGGCAGCCCCCATCGCGCCAGCTCCCGGCGCCGGCTCGGCCGGGCGGGGGCGCGGACGCCGAGGGGCGCGGGACCGTTAGCGGCCCCTGGAGCCCGGCCGGGTCGCGGCAGCGGCGGCGGCGGCGGCGGCTGCGGCGGAGGCTCGGGGCGGGCGGGGCGCGGGGCGGCGGCGCTGCGTCACCCCGTACGCACAGCGGCCGCGGGCCCGGGGAGGGCGCGGGGACCCGCCGGGCGACGAGGGGGTGGCCGCGGGGCACCGGGCGCGGGGATGCGAGGCGGCCGCGGAGGGGTCCGAGGACAGATCGCGGTCCGATCGCGGCCGCAGGGCTAGGGCCCAGGAGGAGGCGCTGCCCCTCGCAGCCGCTCTCAGGGTCTCAGCAGCGCCTCGGCGACGGGCGGGGCCTCCGGCGCGCAGCAGCGCTGCGTGGGCCGTCGGCGGCGGGAGGTGGGGGGCCTCAGGAGGGCCGGGCCGGCCCGGCCCGGGGGCACCCACGCCAATCCGGATGCGGCAGCCACAGGGGGGCATGTGACCTTAAGCATCAGATCCCTTCCTGGATCCCTGTCCCCTCCCGGACTGGACTGGCCCTTTATCCTCTGGGAAATAAGCCTGAAAACAAGTCAGGCCCTTGGGGGACTGTGGGCCTTGGCCCACCCGCCATGTAAATGACACCTTCTCCTCTGCTCACAGGCCCATCCTGAGGATGACCTGGCGGGGCAGAGGCTGCGCGTTCCCACTGCTCATGGGGACAGTTTTAGGCCCTGGGGACTCCGCAGTAAAAGATGGAGCTGGCCTTCAAACCAGGCGTCTGGGTCCAGGGGCCCCCATGTGTCCGCATCCCCAGGCTGAGGACAGGTTCTGCCTGAGGAGGTGTGTCCAGGTCCAGGTGGCTCAGGGGCCTGCCAGGGCGCCCTGCCCATGGGCTGCAGGCTGCAGAAGGCAGCAAGGAGGCCCACAGCCCCTGCCCCACCCCCCCCCCTCCACCCCAGCCTGCAAGGGCAGATGCTGGAGTATGAGTCACCCAGGAAACCCCCAGAGCCATGGGGGCCTGCAGGAGAAGGGCTTCCTCTTAGGGCCCTGGAAGAAAGCTGGGGAGAGGGCAGAAAGCTGAGACACCCCCCCGCCCCCGTCCTGAGCAGGCCAGAGGAGAGAGCGCTGCTGTTCCTAAACTCCCCTGTTCGCAGGGGGTCTTCCCTGACCATCCAGTAAGTGGACCGCGGCATGGTGGCACCCCAGCGGGGCTCCAACCTGCCCTTGGAGCATGCCGGCCCCCCTCAGCTCCCTGGGGACATGGCCCGCCTTTCCCTGTAGCCCCTGGGCCAGAAACACAGGGTGCACCTGCCCCAGGCTGATCAGTGAAGAGGCGATGCTCAGAGAAGATGAGTAACGTGCTTAAAGGCACGGGTCTTAGAAGCGGCAGAGGTCTGGTTCCGGGGCCCCAGCCACCTGCCTCCTGGGCTCCTCCTTGCCCAGCTCAGCGTCTCCTGGGCTGCCAGGGAGCCTCCCCTGCAGGTGGCAGAAGGGCGAGCCTGTGCCCCAGCCACCAGTGCCTGGTGCCGGGAAGCCTTGTGCAGGTCCTACGTTGCCAGCGCCTGGTGATTCACCCTCCCTGGGAGCCCGGCCACTTCAGGCCTGGTGCCCAAGCCAGAGCAGGGCGCAGGCAGGGCTGGAGGTGGCGTGTGAGTCCCAGCCCTGCCCTCGGGCAAGGCAGGCCTGGTCTGCCTGCCGGGCCTCCCTCCCACGCCGCTGCTCTGACGCTCCGGCCACATGGATGTGAAACTTCCTTGGAAGCCAGCGCTCCGTGGGTGCGGGAAGCGTTGCAGGAAGGGGCTTGTGGGCAGGGGCTCAGACAAGACACGTCTCCCTGCCCGGGCCTCCCTCAGGCCTCCCTGGGCCAGGCGCCTCTGCCCCTACCCGGTTATTCCCTTAGAGACCTTGCAACGTCACACCCCGGCTCCCGGAATCCCATCGTCTGAGTGCAGGACCCAGAGAGGACTGAGACCCCGCCCTACCCACAAGGAGCTCTTTGGAGGAGTCAGCAACTCAGCTCTCAAATGGGGGCGGGGAGACCCCAAGACGGGCCCCCCACGCTGCCTCGCTGAGCAGACTCCAAGTTCATAGGCCAGGCCCGGGCCTCTGTGTGGTGGTGGTACGCGTTGCATTGTGTTCCCCCGAAACTCACGTGTTGAAGCCCTCGCCCCTGGACCTCAGAATGTGACTGTATTTGGAGGCAGGGCCTTCAAAGAAGTGATTAAGATTAAATGAGTTTGTGGGGGGGGGCCCTAATCTGGCTGGGGCCCGTATGAGAGGAAATTCGGGCACCCAGAGACAGGGGCGGGGGTCGGGGCACTCACACACAGGGCACGGCCGCATGAGCGGGACCTAGGGGCCGGTGCCCTGCAAGCCAAGGAGAGAGGCTTCGGGGAGCCGAGCCTGCCAGCACCTTGACCTTGGGCCCGCGGCCTCTGTGAACTAGACCCATGAGGACACCACTTCTGAGAGCGAGGTCTGTGGTGCTCTGCAGCCCCAGCGAAGCAAAGCCGCCACTGCTCCCCCCGCCCCCCCCCCCCGAGGGCTGCGGCTCTGGGCCCAGCTCGGGGTGGCCTGGGCAGCGCGAGACGTCGCGCTTTTCTCCCGGGACGGAGGGCGAGACGCGAAGGCGGGTTTTCAGAAGACACGGTTCCGGCAGCTGAGCTGGCTGGGCAGAGGGTGGGGCCGGGGTCGGGCCCAGGGCAGAGCACGGCCCTGGGGACGGGGGACGGGGTGGCTGCCACCGCGCTGTGTGCTGGAGCCGGCCGCGAAGGCCTCCGTCGGGACCGTCAGCACGAGCCTTCACAGGCCCTCAGCTCTGCCCCGGCAGATACGCCTCTCCCGTGCGGGGCGCCCTCCCCACACGTCTGCCTGGGGAGGCCCCGCTGCACGTCCCTTCACCCCCCACCCCCTCCCTTCGTGCTGCCGGCCGGGTCCCCTGGCAGCTCACGGTGCGGGGCTTCCGGCCGGGTCGCCAGGTCCGGCCGCACCTGCTGCAGAAGGGGCGGCGCCCCCGCCTGTCCCTGGCCTGCTGAGCGCGCAGCTGGCCCCGGCCCTCCGCAGGTGTTCGGCCCCGCACCCAGGAGCCCCGGTCCGTCAGGCCCTGCCACCTGCCCCTGTCTGGTCTGCAGCTTGGGCTGCGGCCCGGGCCTTGGGCCAGCTCGGACCTGCCTGGAAGCGGCCAACACCCACTGCCAACCCAGGGTGCCCCACGCGTGGGCCGCCTGGACCCTGAGGTCCCGCCTGGGCACATGGCATTGCCACCCAACCCCCCAAGTATACCACCCACCAGGTCATCCAAGCCAGAGGCCCTGGCCACCAGTGGGGACCTGGTACCAGCTGCCCCTTCTAGCAGCGTCCCCTCCATGGCTTCTGACCTACTTTCCCTCTGTCCCTGGCCGCCCTGGCCTTGTTTATGGTGACAGCTGCCTGCGTATCTGCCCAGGCTTCTTCCCTACGCAGCCAGCTGCACGCCTCCTGGGTGTTCCCACAGGAGGGGACACTCCTGGGTGTGGGGGAGGGCGCCTGGGCCTGCCGTCCGCCGCCCGCCGCTCGCCGCTCTGCAGAGGGGGCCTCCCACGGCCGCCCATCAAGGCCGACTTCCTGGAAGGAGTGTCGGCAGCCCCAGGAGGCCCGAGCACGGGGAGAGAGGGCTGGCGACTGACACAGTGCCCACCCTGGTGTGGCACGTGAGACCCTGGCGGTAACCGCCGGACACGGCGTTGTCTACCCCACTTACAGATGGAGGGACTGAGGCGCAGGGAGGCCACCTGACCTGCTCAAGTTACACGGAACGGTCCCTGGGTGGGCGAGTGCGCCCGCGTCCCACCGCGGCGTGAAGGTCTGACATGTGCCCACGGAAGCCCGCGCGGTCCCCCGGGCGCGCAGGGCGGTCCTGCCCGACCTGCTCTTGCCCCCACCCAGGCTCAGCTCCCAGACGCGCCCAGGCCAGGGCTGGCATGGAGGGCAGCCTTCGGGTGGGGGCCCGTGGGTGGGCCTGAGCGGGAAGGGCCAGCGAGGTGGGGCCGCCCGAAAATAATGCCAGCGCGGCAGGGGGCCGGGGGCCCCCTGCAAGGGCCGCGGGGAGCGCCGCACCTGGGGGGGGGCGCAGGCCATTTCCACATTGGGTCGGGCCCTGTGGGCCCCCAGGCCGGCCAGGGTGGCCGCCCCGTTGGCGCCCTGACACGATGCCCGTCACTGGACTCAGCGCCAGTGCCTTCGGTCCTCGAGGTCAGCGGCCCCCAACCTTTTTGGCACCAGGGACCGGTTTCGTGGCCGGGGGTGGGGGGTGGTTTGGGGATGATTCAGTCGCATACGTTTAAGCTCACCTCCCCCTACGCGGCTCCTAACAGGCCCGGCCCGGTCCGTGGCCGGAGGCCAGGGCCCCTGCTCCAGGTGAGCGCCCTGCAGGTGAGGAAGCCGTCCGTCCGGGGGGAGTTGAGAGATCAAGGTCAGGGGAGCCAGCAGCGACGGGTGGCTGGGGGGTGAGAGCCTCTGACCCCCCAGGCGGTATTCTGGGGGTCCCCGCCCCGGGGGTCAGGGAGCGGCCAGGCCGCTGTCTTTGGAGCTCTGGCTCAGCTCCCGCTGGGGGAACGCCAGGGCAGCTCGCGGGCAGGGGAGACTCCTGCACCTCCATGCAGCCAGAGGAAGCCGTGGCGGGGGGGCGGGGGGGCGGCCAGAGCTGGGGGCTCCGCAGAGGCAGGGCGGGCTGTCGGGGCGCGCCCCAAGGCCCCCCCTCGCGGGAGCCTCCCTGGGTGTGCGGTTCAGCGTCCACCGTGGGACGACGCGGGGTTGCCTGGGCTCCTGTCAGGGGCCGGGAGCTGCTGCGACGCCCAGGCTGAGCGGCTGGGGGGGGAGGGCCCAGGCAGGCCCCTTCCCGGTGGCCTCTGTGAGCCAGCCTGGGGCTGGCCGGGAGGCCGCGGACGTCCTGGTTGGGGGAGCGGCGCGTGGGGACGGGAAACCTGGCCTTGTGCCCAAGGCTTGTGGGGACACAGCAGAAGCCACCGCTGTCCAGGAGAGCCACTGGCTATGATTTGCCGAC